TGCGAGCTCCTCAATGTCAGACTGTCTTATGGTAAAAATGTCCCAACGACCGTGGAGGGCAGAATGAATTTAGATCATAGATCGTTAGAAATTATTGTCGAGAGCTGCGTTATCCGAGAATAGATCGATCGGATTTGATATATCGACTGTCAGTCACGAAATGAGGAGGTTTCTTTCGTTCCCGAACAGTAAAAGTGAACTTGTCACCTTGAGATAGATACAATTTGTCCGTTGGCTGTCACCAAACTTTCGTGAGATTAATATTCCCTCCGGCAATGTTGGTAACTACAGTTCGAGATGTCTCGATGATCAAATGAAATTCAATTATGGAAGTTAATATCACATCAATCATTAAGTAGTCTATTGCAATCTAGCCGTATTAAAATGGACAAATATTGAATTTCACAGTAGCACAGCTGAAAGCCTGAAGAGATGCTAACTAATAGCAACAAATCAAAACGCTTGAACTACGCAGGATTTTCAATAAACTGTTCTCGCTTCCATTTATCTGCGAAACGGATCGCAACAGAAGCAAGAAGAAGAAGCTCGTTGGAGCATGTATAAATAGCGGTTCTATTGAACAAAGTGTAACAAATCATGTAATAACGGAGCGAGGATCACGCACACGCTACTTCGACCAGCGGACATGCAATATTCGATCGAGAGCTTTTTCTCTTCGGACAGATATATATATGGATTATCGACAATCCAGAAGGAGCAGGTTCCCTTCGATAACCTCGACGAACTGGTTTTAACATAATATTTCGTCCGGCTTCGTCCATGGGGAATATTTATTACGCGTACACCGATAAAACTATCAGCGACAAAACGACGTTTCCTTCGCCACCAAGGTTACCATTCCTATCCGGTAAGAAAACGATGCTTCGCGATGTGGAAAACGAACGTTCCTTGAAATCTCGACCAGAATTTCCAACACCAGGATATACATTACCCAAGCGTTACCGATGGAAAAGAATCGCGGCTCCGCCTCATTAAGATCTCTTATCAAGTTCCAGAGATACATCGAATATTACTCGCTTGCCGATCGCTCCCTGTTCAATCATCGACGCTGCCCTTTTTCAAGCATAACGTTCCATAAATTTCTGTAAATTATACCCGTTTGGGTATTTAAAAAGTTTGAAGAACTTCCTGTAATTTCATATCGATGAATACTACTCTGGCGAGTCAGGGGGTTTGTAAAGGGACCAAATTGAGGTCAAAACGTCCACTTTCTACTGAGCAATCGGAAACCGGATAATTTACTCGCGATAGCAAAAATTCAAATGCTTTGATTAGCTTAGAATTAAAAGCTTTTTTTTGATAAAAGCCTAGAGAAAATGATTTCTAAAGCATCTTGAACATCCCATACATTTATGGATATAGATACTTTGTACGAGCATCATCGACGTGTATCTTGGGAATAACATAATCGTCATGTTGGATGATTCAATAGAATCGATTACAACTCGACATAAAAGTCTCGATCGTTTTGCTGTCAACTTCGAACGACGTGAATTTAATTGATCATGAATGTACCATCGATAAAGAAGACATCATACTCTTCTTAATTGCCAATGGCATACCAATAGAGAATTGTCTCGTTAATTTAGTATAACCCGATACGCTCTCTGGACAAAGTACATTTTATACGATCTAACAAATTAATGTTAAATGTAACGAGTTTCTTGTCAGTCGATCAATTGGACGAGATCTAAAATAGGTAACGGTAGGAGAGTAGAAACATCAAGCGAATTATAATTAATTCATGATGTAAATTCATAAAGACCGCGCATTAATCTCAGCTGGCGATTTAACATCATCGTAATCGAATTTATTCAGAATACAGCCAGTTACACAACACTGGGACAGGACTAGTTGTCAAGCTTGACGCTTCGGGTCGTCAAAAGAAGGCGAGGTATTTTCCAAAGGCAAAGGCTTCTTAAATTAACCATTCGCCGTGTCGAATTCGTGGCAATAATCATTCGAGTAAAAGACGGTAACGATAAATTAACTCTTTACACTTGCCTCAAGTATAGACACCCCCATAAAGAAACTAATTATCTATTGTTACCGATATTTTATTGTTAAAGAACCTCGTCGCCTTTGAATTGCTCTGAAAATGTACCGTTTCCTTTTCTTTCGAAACAAGCGTGAAAAGTAGTCGCGACTTGTCAACAGTCGGTTATTAGAGAAAAAATAGAATGCAAATTAGGACGTGAAAGTCCCCTCGCCCGTGTCGTTTGTCAAAAGATAATGGGTGGCATGAATGATTTCGTTTACGTCACTGGTGTTTGAAATCAGGCGACATCAAAACGAGTAGCTTACACACCCACGATGCATTGCACAATGCTAATGGATCAAGTTCATGCAGTCGTCAAATAAAATCTGTCGTCCCGATTTCAGGCTGTGCTACTTGTCATGTACGAACAGGTTCGGATCAGATACGCAAATTTCGTATTGAGAAACCTGCCAGTCATGTTCTCGCAGTTTCGTTATTGTCCTCTGTAATACGTTCCTCGCTCTTTCGTCATTTCAATTCAGAAATTTAATTAAAAAATTCCTTGCGAATTACCACCCACCGATGTTAATAGTTTTTCAATCGAGAACTAATTAGATGGGTTCGATTTTACCTTAGATCATCGAGTTCAACGGGTCAATGAGCGATTCTTAAAGGTGAAATGAATCTCTGCACCGGTCATTGGAACGGTGCAACGAGATCGCGATGCACCGTTCTACGTTCAGATAGGAACGTGTGCCATTTGATCGAACGTGCAGGAACGTCGACCTTAAAAGCTAGAACACCGATGATATGAGTCATTTGATCTGCTCATCCACTTCGAAATAGTAATTAATTTTCTGACGAATTGCCTCTGTTACTTCCTTGCTAGGTGAGAGGATAATTTATTCCGTTCTACTGGCGTTGAATGTACTTTTAAACTGCCTATCATTCATCTTGATAGTTAAGAAATAAAAACGTTTAACGTATTCGAATCGAATTCCAAATTCACTGAAAGATTGCTTTGATAACATATTTAAGAATTTTTTAACAGTTGTTCTATACCAAAAATGTGCCACAATATTAACGGGGGTCACTGTATTTAAGAATAAGTTGCTAATTTCTGAGAAACGATCAATTCTATCAAATGTTAGATTTGATAAAGATCAGGTTTTTCTCCATGGATTAAGAAAGAATCTTTGTAAAATGAAGTATAATTAATCGTGGCGAAATTCAATTTCTGAGGGGACTATTCGTATCTCAGTTTCGAGCAAGACGGAAACATTAATCGACGTCTGTTAATTATTTCTTCTGAATATACAGCTGTTTCATATCGCGGTACGTTCAATTAATATTATTGCAATTAAACGCGAAAATATCAGTCGATGAATATGATTTCACCAGAGGTAATCTACTATGAAATAGAGCCAATCATCGATGAATAATAACGGTGTTGACGAACTATTTATTCCTGAAGGATTCAAATGGAATAGAACGAATCCGGTGAAAGTCAGACAAATTGACAATACTTGTATATTCGTGGAATTTTATAAATTCTTCGACCTATACAGTCCACGATACGTGGATTTTTTTTCTTCGTCCACGAGAAGAACTTGTGGTCACTCTTATCCAAAGCAAACCTACACGTTAAACAAATATTAGCCTGCTATTGCGGGAACGTTTATCAAACATTTACATTAGACATTTGATGTGGAGTACATTTCAAGTTTGGAACCAGCTTGGAATGTCAGGTAGTCGAAACGTGTGATTCTACAGCTTTCGAATATGATTTTACTTTAGGAAAAATAAGAAGTTTTTCTTCGAAAATAAGGAAATTAACCCCCTTCGATCCTTCGTCAAATTTCAGATTTTCTATCAGAAATAATAATATTTCAAAGACAAATCAAGACAATAAGTTCGAGTTGAATTGCAAGGGTTCCCAGCATAACTCGTTAATTAATTCCATACCTGTCCCCTTTACGCGTTTAGATTTTCGTTCACATAGAAATACTTCCTCGAATCCCGTAAAAGGACACGATCCGTGAAACGGCAACGGGACGGACCAACAAGCCTATAGTAGCTTCAAGCGGTCTACAAATCAGAAATAAATAGCTTCTCGTTGTAGTCAAACGTTTAACGGAGCTTTCAACAAACATAGGAGCGTACGGTCCTCGAGTGTACACTTGCGTGCCATTATTCGAGGCTTCTGGTAACTCCGAGAGGAACAACTATCTTCGCGGTGATACGATCTCTTTGGCGTTAGAAGAGGTCCTTCGAGTTGCCTTCGTGTCAAGAGGAAGTAACATTATATGTATATTTTCAACGAACCACGTGAAAGCAAGGGGACCATCTGTTGCTCGAACGACTTGCCCCCCCAATCAGCGAGTCATTCTAATTATAACGTTAATTAAGAGACAGATTCGCTTGGATTTTTCACCGTACGATTTTATCTTCAAGTATCGTTGACCTACGTTAGAAAGTTTTATTCAGAGAATTATGCAGAGTAATAATTCTTGAAACTTTGGAAAAAATGATAAATTAGTAGAAGAAGGTATTAGGATACAAGGAGATTATCGGGCATGGAATTAATTAGAGTACGAGATACTTGCAATCATGTTCCTAACACTTTATCAAACGGAAGTCTATTAGCATATTGACTGGTATGGGGGTCACCAGTGAGAGGCATCATAAATTCAATGCAATCCAATAATGAAAAGAACAAGCATCAAAGAAAATTGTGATATTTATTGATGTTGTGCTAGGAACGGAAAGTGACAAATGGAAAGGTTGAATCGAAAGATGGAACACCTGCTGTGGAAATTGACGTATGTGATACTCAACTATCCTTTTCCTCGATTAACCAATTAATGAGTCTTTGAATTCAAGCTGATTCGAAAGATGGAAAAGCGAATGAAACTTGTCAACAGGACTGAAGAATGTCGACGAGTGAATTCGGTTAATTATGTTAGTCACATATATACATTTTAGGCGAATAAAATGAACATTAATATTCTCAGTCGTTTAATGACACGATACGCTGTTTACGCGTTTTATTGCATTATACAATATTTTTGTTTCACTTATATTACAAGTACAAAGGAGATTCCATTTTTTCTTTTTTTTTTCTTTTTTTACAATATAAATGAAACTACTCTAGATTGCTATGTACACTGCATTCAATTCGAAACACTGCAGTAATCATCAAATCACTCGTCTCGCATTCTTCGTCATGCACTCATCGTGAAGAAAAGAAAACCAAATCGAGATTACCTCACACCATTCTCATCCACTTAGATCGTTAAACATATAAATATTGATGCAAAGCTCGGAGCAACAAATACAAAACTAAAATGCGCTTGATAGAAAAACACTGTAATGCCATGGACGATTAATTCGAAACAGAGAGGAATGAAAGAAAACAAATTGACGTAACAATTTGCGGACAGAATCAATACATACGTGTTACAGCGAAACAACGATTTCCAGGAAAAGGCAACCGTTTTCTACTGTTATGGTAGCTCTCAGATTACCAACTGACAGAGCTACTTTCAAACGAATCTAATACTTTCTATCGGTCGATTACACTGGCGAGCAGTCGATCGATTTCATCCATCGCGATCATCGTGCATTATCGCTGGAACTTGACTTCATGAGAAAAAAAAAAAAAAAAAAAAAAATGGGAAAAAAAGGAAACAGAGACGACCGTTCTCATCGGATACAAAAAGTGGTCGCACAATCTCTGACCGCCAATTACACAAAATGTGCAAATTTCACCATTATTAACTTGATTCATAGGTGGTTACGTGGTTGGTTACATCACAGACCTGCTCACCGATTTGTCGCGAAGATTGATCTCTTCGAGACAGAATTTTATCGTGTTATCTGTCGAAACTGGAGACCTATTTTACGATAAACACACCATTTTCATCCTTTTCAATCGGCCTCGTTATAAGACGTCGTTTCAATTACTCAATACGCTTAAGAATAAAATAAAATCACGTGACTTCGAGATGGGCAATTTTCCAACCGATCTAATCGAAAAGGATTCAGAGGTGAACAACGCAGAATAAATAATACATAGCTAACCTGACTCCTTCGTACCTCTGCTACGTTCCAGATACTTCAATTCCGGTGATCTTCGAAATGGGTGTTAGGATACTCAGTTCCTGATCCGAATTCGGCGGAGTCAAAGTATCGGTAGGTGTCCTGGAGATGATCCTTACCTGTGCATCCTTAGAAGATTCTACAACAGTGTTCTCCATCTGTGTACCTTTACTCTCGGCAGAATTGTTAACGGTACACTTCTTGAAATGAGTCCTCATGTTGCTGCTCTGTGAAAATCGTAGGCCACAGTTTGGACAGGAATACGGTTTCGTTCCGGTGTGATAGTTTAAATGAGTCTTCAGATGGTGCTTCTTGGTGAACGCTTTCGAACACAGGGTACATTGATACGGTTTTAATCCGGAATGAAGTCTCGTGTGCAACGTCATGTTCGACCTATCAGCAAAAGCCTTCTGGCAGACTTGACACTGATACGGTCTTTCACCTGAATGGGTCCTCAGATGCTGTTTCAACAGCATCTTTCTGGAGAAAGCTTTGCCACATTGCTCGCATTGATGCGGTTTCACGCCTGTATGTATTCTGACGTGCATATTGTATGCGACCCGTTGATTGAAGCTCTTCCCGCACTCGGCACATCCGTATTCTTTACGATTACGATGGATCTTCATGTGAGAGCTAAGGTAGCCGCGATCGTTGAAGTATTTACCGCATTCTGGGCAGGTTGCAGCGAATTCTCTGGTACCCTCGTGAACGCTTCGATGGTATTTGTAGTTTCGTAGCTGGGAGAATTGCTTGCCACAATCGGCGCAACGAAATGGCTTCTCTCCCGAGTGAGTTCTGATGTGTACCTGAATGTGATTTCAAAGATGATTGGGTGAACATGATATTTCGAGTCTTTCGCACTTAACACCTTGACGAGTAATAATACAAGAAATAAAAATGTTTGGAAAATTATACCTTCAGAGACGCTCTGGTAACAAAAGTCTTGCCGCACTGATCGCATCGATGATTCTCCTGAGTTCCACTGGCTCTTCCACGTTGGGAAACATCATTACTGATAATCGCATCGTTGTTATTGTTATCACTATTTACAATCACTCTCTCGGTGACTTTAGCATCAACTTTCAAATCTTTTTCTGCTTCCAAAATCGTGAAACGATCATTCGTATCGTTCGACTCGATCGTATCGCACAATCTACTAACGGGATGGGAGATTTCCGGCTTCTGCACCGGATGCTGGAACACTGGACCCATATAACTAACCTTTCGATTGATATTCTCATTCGCGTTTAATAAGGGCCTCGTCGAGATCACAGTATTTTGAGGCTGCAAAAGAGGCTCGTTGCTTCTGACTTCGTTACTAATCGACGAAACGATTTGAGTGGTTGGTGGTAACGGGATTTGAGGTGGATAAAATTCTTGCTGTTTCGTCCCCGTAGGAGAACTATTATCTTCCAATGGTCTGCCAACATTATTGTACGTGGTTTCATGAGTGATAGGAACTTCAACGTCGTAATAAAGATCGTTAGGTGGTGAATTTTTGGGTAATTGCCTATTAGGACTGGCAGAGGTTACGGGTAGACACACTGTTTCCGGTGGACGAAGGTTTTCTCCGACTTCCTGCAACAAGAGGATCATACTCATCCACTCTCTGCTGATCACTGTTATTTTCTGTCTGAAATCTACTTTCCAAACGCAATTGCTTTAATTAGCTTTAATAGCTTGTTTTGTGAAAGAATTGAAAGGCTTCAAACCTTTGGACAGCAGTGTACATATTTCACAGAAAAATAATACAAAGAAAGAAGTGCAACGAAGTGGTAAGTTGATGATCAAAGATTTATCGGCTGAACGTTTAATTATTGATCTACCATTCGTTAATGATCGATAAGAAAATGCGATCTAATCACTGAACGTCACTACTCATCGTGTATTTTATCGGTAACTAATTTGCAAACGATGTATACGCCTGTCTGCTTTACGCGTGATCTGTTTAATGTTTCCGCGATCATAAATAAACGTCGAATAAATGAATAAAACGAACTAGACCTTCGATATGGTACAATTAAACCGGTAATTCCAGTAACGATAAAGTTACAAAATTATTGAGAGAAACTAGAAATTATCATTTATTATTAATGGGTACACGATTATCTTTCGAATTGTTTTGATTTCGAACGGTGCTGGGAATTGAGTGTACAAAGTTGAAAGCCAAATTCTTGCAACAATTCTAATTAACGAAAGGCACTCTGTATGAAAGCGGTAATTATTCAAACAAACCCGTCCATTGAAACCGTAACAAATCCCTTATTTTCGGTGCAATTCATTGCACATCGAATATCACGTCTCGGCAATCTTCTTGCCGGTAAAATCACGTTAGCGTATCGGCGAATCCGATCCGTTAATTGCTCGATCGGGCTTCTCCCACTTGGTCATGGAAAGGTGCACTTCGGTGCAGTCGGCTGAGGTAAACGACGAAATGAAAAAGACGTAATGAAAATAAAAAAAAAAAAAAGAAGAAGAAGAAGGGAGAGGAGTCTCGGTATTAAAAGAACATGCGCCATGTTGCGCAAGGTCGTAAAGCAATCTGGAAAAAATCTGGAGCATATCAGTGCACGTGTCGAAAGAGAAAACGCTCCTCTCCAGATTGCGTGTAATAACATGTAAAACCAAAGTTCGCAGCTGGCATACACCAGCTGGTGATTCCTTTTGACCACCGTCTTCAGAAAAAGAAAGCTGCATCGAAAAGCGAGAGGGAGTGAGGGGAAAAAATATTGGAGCAAAAAAAGAAAAGAAAGGAAGAATGGAAAAACAAGACAACTGCCATGTAACTGATAGTTTCATTAATCAGAATGACATTGGACTAACCAAGAGGAGGCAGCTGGTTCGTGGATATATGTCTTATCACCTGGCACCATCGTATTACGGCAGCCCAACAAAATGACTGGCTGCAAAAGTGCACCAACGACCCGAGCACTGATTCCTCTGCATATTTTAACAGAAGAAAGCAAAATGAACGGCCGGTGTATCAAGAAACACTCGGTTCCAGTGCGGCGTGCTTTCATTTGTTGGTGAAAGGTCGATGAAGAATAAGTGGGTCCTGTATTCCCCTGCTCTTCTTCTTGTTTCCTTAAGAAACAACAAGATCCTCGACTATATTTTATATAGATAAACGCGTTTTCTATGTTTCTCCTAACGATGACTCACCGATAACGACCTACGGGGTACTAAAGGGAAAACATAATGATCAAGATGTACGTGTCAAGATAATTGCAAAAGAAATGATGACGCCTTTAATCCAATAAAGGCTGTTGATTTACGATGTTCAATATCCAATCGATAAATCATGCATAAGTTTCTGCAAATAAGCTGCAAATCTCATAAATTGAAACTTGCTTACTATAAAGCCACGAATTTAGTGGTAATTTATTATTCTCCCTACGAAAAAGCCTCGGAGGAGTAGTAACTGTACAAAATCCAGGCCATGAAGGCCAGAAGAATCTTAATTTCTGCTCTACTTACATCCGACATAAACATTCTTCTTTTCGACCGACAACAGTGATAAGAATCCCAAGCAAATTAACCTTTCAACGGTGCATTCGGAATATTTCATAGCAGCTCAGCATGAGATTCGTCGGATCTCTTTGAGTAGATCCTCGATCGTCGGATCGCATGCGTGTAAGTTAATGAACAGCGAATTTGAAATAGTAGTACAATTATTAAACGCTCTTTGATGGTACGTCGAGACGAATTAGAAGAAGAAACGAAAGAAAAAAGAAGAGGAATATCGTCCTACGAGTAACGTACCAGTTTTGATATCGAAAAGGATGAAAAGCATTCCAAGATGTTGGCAACGTCTAAGACGCATAAATGGCTCGATCGGTTACGGACTTTCCATAAGTGTTTTATGTTTGAAACGAGGACGATCCCGTGTACTTACAGACGGTTGAACGTTATGCAACGAGGCAAACTTGCTCGAGAGATCATCAAAAGCGAGGAGACGGTGAAAAGAAGGGAAGAAAGACAGTCGCTGCTATTCTATATATAGTTTAGAAAGAAAATGGAAAAATGATTTTCAATTACTTCGGTTTACAAGAACGATGCTTACACAAGTTGGATCTTCTAACGAGTAATTGAATTTATTAAAATAATCAGCTTAGGAACGAGTTCAACGTCGTTAGATATCGTTAACAGAGGAAGCGGCTACCAATAAACGTTTCACAGTGCCTATCTCATTTCCATTCCCAATTGCTAACGTAGTACTACATTTATCCGAAATTTACAGAGTGAATTTGCAAAAAAGAAAATGTATGCTTCTTGATTTTTAAAGAATCAAATGAAACGAAAATATTAATTAACTCTGGAGTAATGAAAATATTATCAACTGCTAATATTTCGCTGTGCAAATTCAACGGATTCCAATCACTGACATTTTCAAACACGTAAGTGAAGAATCTTGCATCCCGACTATTCTGTTTGACGATTCAGTCAAACTGTTTTCACCATATTCATAAATTTCAAGTAACTAGGATCTGGTAGTACTAATTAACGTTTAGAAATGTTATTGCCATACCTTCGCTAACAAGCTACATTAACACAACGATTGATAACAAGAAAACTCTGTCAGTTAAAATAGTTTTCTTAAATAAAGAATAATATAATTGCTTTTCGAATTAACTCCTTTCCTATGGTCAGTCTACTGAGTGTTCGATGATATCTTACCGCGATTAGATATAAAATTAAATACCGTTATCTTTTTATTATACAATATATCCTCCTGTAGTATTTGGTAAAGGAACAAAAATGGTCTTCCATATGGTGAGAAGGCTCGGAGGATGAATATGGAAGATTTCATTCCCGATCAAGAGGCATAGTAAACAAGTCACTTTCTGTATGAAAGGATAGCGATTGCTACTGGTAAGATTAGTAACCCGATCTCATGAGATCCGTGTATGAGACATGATGTAACAATATGAAGGTACAGAACGGGAATCGGTAATTGTATCTAACCGATAATAATCGCCCGGACAAATTTATCGAGCCTTGTGCAACTGCAAATTAACCTTAGAAAAACTGAAATTACGTGCAATTAAATGTAATAAATTTTATTCGGAGCGTATAAAATTCTCAACACGAAATTTTATGGGATTGTAGCAAAACGGAGACGATAGAATTCGAAAGATCGTGAATTTATTTGGCAATTAATATACTTTGAAAATTGTTAGCTAAGTATTTACTTTCACCTACGAGTTCGTGAAATTTAAGAATAGAATCTCTGCGAGAGAATTCGAATGATTTTAAGATTGCGAATGTTAGAACTTGAAGAATCTTCCTACCTTTCAACATTGTTTATCCATCACTTTCGTTAAAAGTGCATCGATCTGTTTGTAGAAATAGCAAATGCAGGATTTACCTCCTGAGATTTGGAGGGAATGCTAATGAAACCGCTTAGAGATATTTCGTGTCCGTGAAATTAACTCGAAAATTGCAAATCATCGTAACGTGGAATTGCACATATAGTATTCGATATCCTAGATATGCAAATGTGTTCGTCGCGGTATTATTAGTTCGATTTTATTTTTCTGGATGCGTCCAGACCGTGCAATCGGATATTGAAGAGCGATTAGTTTACAAGATAAATAATATTCGAACTGGAATAAGACGATGTTGAAATATAATGAGCAGTTTGAAACAGAAATCCGACTTCGTTTCTACCTTCTAGCGATATTTCTAGAAGATCCCACTTCAACTCTTAAATACCCTTCAATTCTTCAAGTATTACGAAAATGACGGCTTTGTTCTACAATTAATGTACTTTGGACTTTGATATTTTCCAAGTGAACGCCCTGTTATGCAAAACCATAATGATCTAAAGGTTCTCAAGAAACTTGTAATTAAATATAAGTCCATAGTTGAAAGTATTGCAACTATAATCTTCATCTGAGAACACGCAATTTGTTCGTCATGTTTATCCAAGTGATCTAACTACAATATCACGATAGAAAATCAACAACACTTACATTTGCATCATCGGTGCACTGGACAGGATGAGCAGGCTGAAGAACGATCGGCTGTAACTTGGGCAAATGATAAGGTCTGATGGTCTGTTTCCAAGGCGAAGCAGTGACACGATTGGCAACGTGTCTCTTGGGTGATTTCCAGACGAAACAACCTTCCTGACACGACAAATCCTCACCGTGATCCGATCTGGTCCTGTTAGGTGAAACTGTACTTCTATTCTGACAGCATTCAATTCTAGAACGAATGACAGGAGCTCTGTCTTGCTCTAAACAACGATCATAAGTTAAATCTTTTCCTAGACGATTATCATCCCTCGTTTGAGGCCGATTCTGATCAGTCTTCATTCGTGATTCCAGAGGTTCCAGTTGTCTATCGTACAAGCTTTTTGAAAAACAAAATTCCTGTTGATGATGAGTTTTCATCGATGAATCACTGACTCGATGATTCTCCGTATGTCCAGCAGGAATATCGCTGATAGCAGATATCACAGGGGTTGATTGATATCTCCTTACGTCCATCCGATTCGTTCCATCTTTCTCATAAGATTGAAGATTCTTTTCTTGTCGGACATTGGTAAACGGTGGAGGAGGAACAGACCAGATCGTACTAGAGAAATATTTTTCAGGTCCATATCTGGATTGAAGAAAGTTCATCGATTCAGGAAGCGGTCTGATTTCTCTTGCGGTTTCCAAGGACTCGATCGGTGGATACGGTTCCTCTTTGCTCGTGGAATCTCCATCTTGATTTCTCCCTGGACGGTACCAGCCGTCGCAGCACGGATACTGATCGCACCGTAGGTACTTCGGGTTGATCTTCACGTCTTTGATGTCTTCCTGCTTGCAATCCGCTTGCGAGCAAGTCATCACGACCGGTACAGGAGGCAGTCTGATGTGCAAAGCCTCGGCAGCATGGAGGAAAGCGTTCAACCGAGGACGAGGCACCGTCGCGCTTCCGGTGTACACAAAACCAAGGATAGCAGCCAGTTCGGGCGCTTCTACCTCGGCTAATATCACTGTGATCGGTTCGCAGTGCGACGACGTTCTACTGTGAGCCAACAGCACTTCCTGAAAGCAGAGAAGAAAAAAAAAAAAAAGAAACAGGTGAGCCAGATTATTCAGCGGTAGTCTTCCCGATAAATTTATGGAAGACGCGAATACACGAATGCATAATTCCTATTGACCAACTTTTAAGGTCGACAGAGACGAGCGAAGCGTGTCGTTCCTTACTGAACGATTTAAATTCCACGACGATCCGTGCCATTTTTGCGTTTCTTGGGAAAAGGTCAGAGTACCTGACGTCAGTCAGATTCTATTCTATTCTTTTAAATTAATTTCTGTTCTTGAAAGCGATGTTACGGGAAAAAAGCGCAATTTACTAATTGTATCAGTTTAAAAATGATCAAATTCCTTGTGGAAAGAAATTGATTCGCGGCCTTTCTCTTTGCCGACTTATCCCTTCATCATGTCAACGTGTTACGTATAAGAAAATCTCCCGGCGGATCGGTAATGAGGGTCATTAGTTTTGTTTAGCGTGCACGTTCGCGGCTATATCTCGATAGAAAATTAGTGTAATAATCACACACCTCCTGGAACGCGTAAAGAGAGTCGTTGATACGGGGTGATTTATCTTCTCAGCTCGTTTCACTGAGAACAGAGGCGTTTCAAACGTCTCGGATAATTCGAACCTATTTGCGCCTGTTAATGGCGTGTACCGTCGGTTTTCCAGGAAATTCTGCTAAACTAGTTTTTCGATTCACTTCCATAACTGATTTGTAAGACCATATCTTTCATTAACGCTTCACTTTTTCTACAATTTCTAATTATACAGAGATTATTGTTAACGCAACAACAATAGAAATTGCGTTAGACCGTCGGCGTATCTCTAATTCGTAGGTAGATCTATCATACAAGGTGAACCATTAATGTAGACTACCTTGAATATTCTCTCGATCATTTGCACTTTGTTGTTCCGACGCGTTACAGTACTTATATGTCTAAAAATTGATCTTTATTCATACCTAAATTCATTCTCATTTTTCTTCTCTGTGTGCACGCGTGTAGACACAATGCTATTCTACTTTGCTTATTCGAAATGCGCGATCGTTCGTCTATCCCGAAGATTTACGACGCCAGATAACGTACACGTTCCCAAGTGTTTTACATTGAGAGTAGACGTTGACAGAGCTGCAATCCTGGTGAACCATTTCTGAAGTTGATTCCAACAATCTCGTTACGTTAAAAGGAAACACGTTTGCATGTCACGTCCAGGTGCACTGGAAAAGGTGGTTAACAGGAATATCCTATCGCGTTAAACGAATTCTTCTCGCATACTTTTTCGTTCCAGCTTGTTAAACAAATTCAATGAAATTTTATTTCAACCTAAGGGAATACCTTCGAAAGAAGACATCGTACACGTATGAAGCTATTAAAGTTTTTTTAGAACTCAATGGAAAGCTTGCAATATGGTGGGATTTACACGAACACGTTTCATTCGAGTCTGTTATAAATGTTACTCATTAACAGTTATTCATTACTTCACGATCAAGTTTGTTCAGTTTTCCATCAGTTCGCGTGACGCACGACTTTCCGAGCGATTTCTGATGATTTACACTTTACACGCGACCGTTATCAAACACGATAATAAATCAGAAAAAAAAAAGGACGATCGCCTACGAAGCTTATAGAATTTACGCATGAAACTGTCCCACTTATTAGATTACACGATTTGTTCGTTCTATTTGAGAGGATAGCGTGTAGAAATAGACACTTTTCTCATTAGCCACTTCGTTGCTCTATTTTGCACCTGGCCACGCGATGCAACACGGCGTGCACTTTAATTAGATACCCGTGTCATAAACTTTATCGTTACCTTATCTAAACGGCAACAATGTTTCAATGGACAGTGTAATTCCTAAACACTGATATGATAATCTATGGAAGCTTAAACGTCTGATTTTTTAAGATAAAACAGGTAGCTCATTCGTGAAACTTTCATTATACTTTAAATTTAAAATTTACGTGCCACGAGTGTTATTTTGAGTTACTTTAGTGTCGTGATTTCGTCACTTCATATACAGCAATTTACTAGAAAAAAAGAGAGTGATGATTTCTTTAACCACTTGCGACAAGAACATCTTGAAATCAATTTACTTCCTACTCGAGGCGAATTCTAAATAGCTCGGAGCGATGATACACAAGATGATACTTGAAAAGGTATACGATTACCACTTAAGATGTCCCGTTCGAATGATGATTTTTGAAGATAAAAAAAATCAGGTGCTAGTAAGTGGAGATGTTGAGGACGTCTCGAGTTCGATTCGATTGCTTGCAAATACAAGATTATCACTCGAAATCAAGGAGTCGTTAATAAAGTGATCATCAGGATACCTGCGTACGTATTGTCGGTAACTTCTGATGTTTGACCACCTTGTAGCGATGATATAAGCGTAAACATATTAACATTTTGCCGTTCAGAATTGGAAAATAAAATTTTTCAATCCGCTAAAAAAATGATAAACCAAGAGGAATGACGACTTACGAAGATTCCTGTCCGAGATTTCCATTTTATTGCTGGTTATTAGTGAAATGATCCGACCGATCGTATGGGATCACGGCGACAGATTTTAAAGGAATTAAACTACACATATAAATTAAACATTATATTTTCAGTCGGAAGAAATTGACCTAAAACGTCGGTTTTTAATATTTTTCTTATGTAGGACAACATTCTGCGACATTAACATATTTCTCAATCGATTAGAATTTCGCGTAAAGTGGCTAATGTTGCAATAAAATATCCAGAATTCTGTCTACCTATCAAAATTTAATCCGCACTGAAAGATCGGATCCTCTTTGGATTTTATTTATCAGTTAACCGAGATGTTATTAATCCTCCTGGCGGCTGTACAGAAATTTAATTGGAGGAAATAGAAAACTGCAAGAAAACTGGGATCTAACTAATCTTCATTTTTAGAGCGCAACTATTCACGTCGCGTTGAAAGTTGCAACTTAAATTCTTAAAAACAATTAACAATAGATATTAGAATTGATTTGATTCGCGTGGGTTTATCTACATTTAACGTGTTCAATTTGTTAATAGTGAAACCGTAAAAAGCATCGTATCAATTTCTGTTAATTCTATCAGACTTTTATAGCCCATCTGACCCAACAAAATGGTTTTTAATTTAATAGTAATAAAAACGAAGCCACTCTCGTGCGTTTCCTGAAAATTATCATTTTCGATCATCGGAATTGATCATTACCATTTCACGAATGTTCCATTTCGTTGAATCATTCATTCAGAACACACATTCTGCCGGCCGAATTTTATCAACCTAACACGTGTCCAACAAATTGTTATCTATTTCTAACGGTGAATAAAACGCACGCAATTAGGTTCGAAAGATTTCAAATATTATCTAAAAGGCCTTTTCCACGCTTCGGCATTGCTTAAAATGTGTGAACGTTCCATGATTTTAATGGATACTGTGTAATCAAGAAAAATAAATAAAAATACCTACGCGATTACATGGTCGGATACGCGTCCATGACGCCTCGTCCTTCGACAATAAAAAGAAAAAAAGATAGCGGGAATTGATTCGTGTATGCAAAATCAATTTTTACGATTCTGATCGTTTATTAAAAAATACGTTAATTGTTTTTCCTTCGAATTAATTACAAGCATCAATTTTACGGTGTAAAAGATTCAATAAAATTTGCAGATTTATAAACGATAAGTATCGAGAAGAAAAGCTAAACGGTAAGTTAAACAGCGATTTCAACGCGCGTATAAGAAACGAATTAAGAGGCGTACACACTGAATTTGTGCGTACAATAGGTGAGATTTAAGATACGCAATAATTGTTGATTGTAATACACAGAGTTTATCCGACACGTGCAAAAAAGAAATATACCCCGTATAACACGCACCATTATTATTTTCCAAGCAAAAAGGAAAAAACACACGTGTCTGCATGTAGTTAAGCGGCTTATGACAATGGCTTCGTTAAAGAAGCTTTGCAAGAGACACGGTGTACTATCCTTGGGAATATAGCGAATCAACTGCCATATAAAATAGCTGCGTGCAAGTATTTTAATGGTCAGTATGCCGCTATCAGGAAGATCAAAACGCGCCGTTTAGCATGCATCAACTCGTATAACGCATACAGTGCGTCCTACGTGCTAGATACGTCTGGTACCCTTTATGAGAGACCAAAACGATAAATGAAATCATTAGGGTGCACCGACCTCTATATCACCGACGAATTATCAAGAAGATTCATACACGACCGGGGTGTACAATATCAAGATTTTTCTTATCTAATGAATCTTTCCTTAACGGGATGTTTCTATTTGGAAGAGCCATTTTTAGACAATTGTTACGAGAAAGCACAGAGGGATTGTTAGAGTATTCTGGTTTCCTTTTTTTTAATTATTCACCTAGACAAAAACAAGTTCTTTCTCATTTGGAGTTCTTTAACTACAAATGACATTGAACCATGCCGTAGAGAGATGTGCAAAAAAATGGAATGTAAAATGAAATGTTTAATTATCTAAAGTTTGTCATCAACGTAATGTACAACGTAATAGGACAACAGTAGCGATCAAACGAGCGACGAAAATGGTAATAGAGGAAAACCTACATAGACCTTAAATAGTATTCATTATCGACTGGTTAAACGTGAAAGACGAAATCGGGTTATATCTCGATAACGACATTTGTTGTCGGAATTTACTATGAACAACGGGTGGAAAATGTTAAATAAAAAAGAGAAGTTGTATACGCGCTTAGCATGAAACCTTTCACAAACGAATTTGCAAGGTGTAATTTTTAAGGCACGTTCCCAGCGTTTAACGGCTAGCAATCGAACTGAAAACGATTACCAGAAAATTGCGGCTCGCTGAGAAAGAAAACGTGTTACACAGACGGAGGTTGAAATTATGCAACCGGTATAAAGAGATTAGAGGTCGATGAAATAGGTACGACCCGAGAAGAGAAAAAAGGAATTTAATAATGATTTAATAATGAAAAAGTATATGTTATTGTTTAGTGCTACGATATCTTATTTACTTGACTTATTCTTTTCAATCTTGTCAAATGGTAGAAAATAAATTAAATTAGGAAGTTCACTGCAATTTTCTGAGTAATTGTGTAATTATCATCTTATATTATCATATTTTGATGCTCGATCATTAGATCATCAACATCATCCATCAATCATGTACAAACGTACTATTTATAATGTGTGAAAAAACAAGTATGTTTCAAGATAGTTATAGCACCTGTTTAACGTTTGATTAATAAGCGGTACGATTCGATGAAATACGCGGAGTTACCGCTAATGATGTTTAAATATCAGTTTAATTAATTAGTTTTCGTGCATGATAAACGTGTACAGGAGTCAACCGGCATTCAATTTTAATTAATGACCGCCTAGTTAAATACAGTATTTTTAATTTCTTGATATCTTGATCGGTTCCCGGAAGAAATTACACATCTCTGTGATTATTGCTACTCTATAATTCAAATGAAAGTTAACTATATCCTAGAAAACGGAAACATAGTTGCAGTTTGTTTCAATTCGAAAATGGAAACACCAACTAGAGTTTACTTTACGCAACAAAGTGTCTCGTAAATGGTGATCCACGAATAATAATACTAAACAAAGGAAACTTTCTCGAAAGAAATCCAAAGAAATTCATTCGAATTCGCTTTCACTCTGCCTATATCTAATTCCAAACGGAATGAAAATATTATGCGTTGCAAATTGCAAAATAAAAACAAAGACACTTACTTGTAAATAAGGGCTGGCAGCAGAGAGAACCAGACGATGAGCTAGAAATCTTTGACCACCAGGACAACAGAGAGCAACATCAGCGAATCTTTGGGACAACATAGCTTCCTTGAGGAACTCCCCAACATCCGGTGTCCTCCCAGATACCCGTATCACCTCTCCCATCATGCTCCAATTTGTATACAATTAACGCACTATTCACAATTACTTTTCACAGAGAAAAGAGAATAACAGAATTCTTTCGAACGGTTCAGCACAAATGTTTACCACTGTCCGTGTCCATAATACTTTCGTACGCGTTGCACTTGGTCACACTGATTTCCATAACGTGTCGCTGTCTCTCCGTGTGTTTGCTTATAAATAGATATTAATTATCTGTGAAACAATTCCAGTACCGATGTCCGATATATCCGGCGCTATAACAGAAAAAAAGAATGAAGCGGTCAGATAAGAATTCCAATGATACAAAAACTTTGTACAAAGAATATTTTATCATTTTAGAGATGTTTAACCATTAGGTATTTCGTTCAAGTAGTCGTCATTTTTAAATGATTAAATTAAATTAACCCTTTCGTTGGATTATAACGGCCCTGATTGAGTTGAACAGAAACAGCCTGACAAATTCGAGAAGCTAAATAGGATTGTTATGTTTATTAATACAAAAAAGGATAGCCAGCGATTTTATTACGATTTACTGAAGCAGCGGTTTGCAGCCGATTGGTGCGGCTATTGCCATTGTACTGTGAAATTACTTTGTGGCCAAGTAATTGATACTGTACAAGATAACACCCGATCGAAACAAGCATCACGTAAAACGTTCTGTCATACGCATGGTTGAACAGAGTTATTCCTGTTTGATCAAGCATTTTAATAAACTCTCCCAACTAGCATTTAAAAATGTACCTCAATCATACAATCCGTGCTATGTTACAAATAATATAAATACTTGGACTATTACGAAATTGGCTCCAATTTTCCTATATATTTGCTTTCGCACAGCGAGATCATTAATATCGAAACCGATAAAATAATCTAGCAATTTCGAAATTATTTCATCGATAGATTCTTTCATGATAACAAAGATTTCACTGGTGATATAATAAGGATTTATCGTCCGTATAACGAGTCGTTCATCACCCGATTGCTCACAGCTTTCGTGGAAAGAAACCGATTTACCTTTCCATTGATCTAGAGTCAAGATTCGTCGGTTCAATGATTCTAGTTTTCAACATTGTATATTCCATTATCATCGCCGGAGTGATTTAGAAAAGACGGAACCTTGTAACCTTGATATTTCTGATTAATTATTATCTCGATATCAACGTTTCGAACGGCATCTTTCGAAAGCGGAACTAATACTATTTAACAGCGTGGAATTGAAACAATGTGCCGATACAGTTTGTAGAACGCAAATTAAAATGCGAAAGAGCAACGAACGTGAACGAATCTTTACGTGTTTTAGAATAATTTTATCCGTATACATTGCACGTAATTAACATTTAATCGAACGGAATACCATCAGGAAATATAACCAATGATTAACAGCGATTCGCTGACGACTAAAAAAGGATTCCTCTCGATCTTGACATGCGTATAGCTTCGAGCCAATGTCAATGTTGAACAGTGTTCGCACTTTCGAACAGTGTCCAATTCCGAATAAATTGAGTATCGTTTTAAAAGTCGATGCTATAATACCAGAGAAACGGATGATCAGCCAGGAATATAATCATGTTAATCGCTATCCCACGTATAACATTCGACGATTTTAAAAAATATTGGCAGCTCCCCTATCAAAATAACGGCTCGTCTTCCGTCCGTTAGACACGATAGAATAATTTTTGATAAATTTATCGGTGCTTTCATGTTTTACCTCGATGCGAAAATCACCTTGGATTAGGGTCGTAACCGACGCTGCATCCTATTAGCGACTCAGCTAACTTCCTCGGCTTTACTAACAGAACCCGTGAACCCCTATTTACGGCAATGGCGCGAAAGTCAAATTTCAATTATTGCGATTGTCGATAAAAATGTTTGAATTATCAGCCGATACGCGTAGGTATCGTTCGATGCGTACTTACGATACACTCGGTTATTACAACATCGTTGCAAAAATAAACCTAGATACTGGATTAAACTTGTAAATCTTCCACACGCCTCAAACAGCCTTTTTTTTCTTCTTTTCTTGTTACACTTTTTTCTTTCTCAACGTTGTTAATAACACGATCATTCAAAATCCTCTGAAACATTTTCCACAATTTTTTTTTTTTTTTAATGTTACGTAAGGTTTTTTTTAAACACCATCAATATACATACGTTTCATGCACTTCGTAGCAATGTAAAGGAACACTACACGTTATCTAATGCTACATTTTACGAGCCACTTCGCTAAACTATTTGATATCTTCACACAAATATTTGACTTCGACAGACATTTAAAAGTACATATTTCATTCTTCACGCGCATCTCCGGTAGATGTAATATAGAATAATCTAGAGGCGATTTATGCAAGATGTCAACATAAAGTGTTCAAGTTAACGAACAAACCGTCTCGAACACGAATTATACAAGATTATTAAAGAATTTTTGATCATTCTTAATCACGAGGTACATCACTCATCTGCGGAACGTTCACTTTCTTTCGTCTCGACGTAAATGTCATATTTTTTTCGTCCGCTCTAACCTCTTTACATCGAACTCTCGTTCTCGTTCGATAATCGCAAATTAGGTGATTGCAACGTCATCTGTCATAGCCCGATTTATCATGTTCATTATCTTCTTATCACCCATTGTAAAAGTCATAATTAGATTGCATGAAATTTCAACGAAATACCTAATGGTGTCCATCAATGATATCGCTCGCTAGATAAAAATCTATTTCGAAAGAAATAAGAATGTAAACAATGAGAGAAGATCATGTATCGAAGGAGACAGAGATAGATAGGTCGAACTAACCGTTAAAAACGCGTGTCTCGATCGATTCGATAATATTATCCGGCATCGTAAGTGACGTATAGCAATGTAACGAGAACTCGGCTGAGAACTCGCGGAATTTCGTGGATCACGATGCTTACGAGGTACCCGTCGCTGAACAACTCAGCAGGGCGACTGCCACCTGAAATGCTCAGGTGAGCAGAGACCACCTCTGCTCCTTGCAGTCTCTCAACGGAGAGAGAACTCGAAACAACTCCTCCCATATTGGTGCTATGCTCCCTCCTTAAGGTTACGTTTCCCATCCTGACGTACGATTCACCCGGCCGCCACTTGCTCGATCAAATAATAAACCAATTAGAAAAAATGCCGCCATTTATATTCAAACACTTCCGCCAACGATACGTTACTTAATAACACAAATATTTCGAACAATACACAACTTTCTCTATCAATCTTGTTCACAATAAAGGACACTAACCTTCGAATATTTCAAGTTCAGGATTTCAATCACGCACGGCGACAAACGCGCGGTAAACAGGGGTTAAGATACGATATATCACGATGAGCGACAGCGGTACAGATGTCGCTATTTTTAAATAATTATTTAGAGGCCACCTAGCGTTTGAAAATGGAACACCGGTCCTGGAACCATTAGCGGAAGTGGATAGGGACCGCGCGAACCGGAAGATCTTATGTTGAATTCTATTTTCAATATTACCGAATCATATGTTAATTTTTAGCGACTGTATGTATGTTCAACTTTCAGCGAATCGTTAAATTTGCATCGATTAAGTTTATGATGCTCACCTCTAAACGAGAAATGCATAGGAAGACTGATCTGGAGTGAAAGTGACATGCTTCGCTTTCAGGTTCCTGATAATCAAGAATTGGACGACAAATTGTTTGAAAAGGAATCGATAAATTTGTAACCATCTAATCGCATGAAAAATCGTAATTTAATGAAATCGGTCCAAAAATACTCGTTTTCGCATCATAAACGTAGAAGAAATTAGCGGCTAATTAGCAAAATATGCCGTGAAATGTATCAAAGCAGAAAGTTTTTAATTGTTATAACGCTCCACTTTGTAAAATGTGATAATTCCAATGTAAATCATACAGAAGGTTTGTGGGCCACATTTGACTGGTTCTGGCACGTGGTCGATGCTAAATCCATTAACACCAAGCCAGAACGTTTTCTAGATTGATTATCAAGTAAACACTACGTGGTGTCGGTTCCCGTTTTACCAACATATCAGTCTTGCAGATTGGTGTTCACATCAATCTGTCAAAATTCTGATGTACCCACGTTTTCTCATACTGTTATTCCGATTAGAATTCACGACAATTTTAATTATTAATACAACACGAGATATTTACGTTGCAATTTGTCAGTGATTTTCTTTGATTTATTGCCTTTTTTTTGTAGGTTACCGATGTTAAGGCTAAATTCACATTTCTCGCTAAATTGGACACAGAAAATACAGCATTCATATTCTCGTATGGATTTCCTCTCCTTATCGATCCCGAAGATGTAGACAACACTTTATTGTCCATGATTATGGAATACATTTTTCTAATTACTGTTTATCATTCTGACAAATCATCTATTCTTGGCGTTCATTTGTTTAATTTAATCATTTCTTTAACGGTTCGTCGTGTTTCGTTTCCGAGTAGAGATCGTTGTTAATTTATTAAAACTTGGACAACAGAATTTGGTAAATTTGAACCTGAATCTAAAATTGTTGAATTTGCAATCATGTCTTCAGCTATGGAATTAAAGGTGAAAACGTGGTCAGCCGCGGTTTCTGGTAAAGTTCCAGACAATATCGTGTCTTCACAATTCTCCTCGCATAAAGTATTTATACCCTCTTATGAAAGGTATGTTATAAACTTTCATACGAATTTATTTATTTCCGGTAAAATTAAACAAATGTTGCAGAGAGAAACGTCCTTGCATAGAACAGCTCTTGACTAATGAATATCAACGCATGTGGTGGCAGGAAAAACAAGCATGGGATAAAAGATTTACAACGCCTACCAAAAAGGCAACTATGAAATTATTGCAACATAAAGTAAGAGACGCGTTCGTCAATATTTTCATTTTTGAGTAAAGAAATAAAATTCAACTGACTACCTCTGTTAATTAATAGATAATTAAAATGAAACCAACAATAGCAACTATAGAGAAAACAACAACACCTATAGAGAAACCCACATCTGTACTAAAATCAAAAACAATAAAAAAGCTAAAGAAGAAGAAAGAAGCAACAGCTGTAAAAACAGGCGAAAAAGAAAAAGATGCTCTTAAACAAGAAAAAGAAACTCAGCAAAAGGATGAAAAATATTGCAAACAAAACAAGGAAATAATGGAAAAATAATACGAAAATTAACAAAAGGAACCTATTTACAGTAAGATTGTAATTCCAATATTGCCACGTCTAATGCTTCTGTTTTGTAACTTGCCTTAAAATTATCTGAACATTTTTATTTATAAAAATTTAATAAACTCAACTATTACTAATATGTCTTATTGTTAGTAGAACTGTACAGGAACTAGTTACATAATTAAAAATGTAAGTGCGTGCAATCAACGATGGTTTGTGTGTAACAAGCACAGATGGCGCTTCGTACCGGAAGTGCTTGCAAGAAGCGTTGCACAGAGAGATACGGAAAAATAATTTCACCTTTCTATCTGTCTACTCCCTCTTATAAGAAATGAATATGCTTCGATACGATGGCTTATCAATTAATTAATGCTTCCAAATCATTTATACACAGAGGTATAAACGTGGTCGCATTAAAAACTGGCATTAATGATGATGATCGACAATAATTTGCAATTGAATCGCACGATTGTACGTTACCGAATGTTTATATAATTTTGGGATGTTTGTTGTCAATTCTACAGGCTTTCTAATATTATTACTCACCGGTCTGTTGTAGTGTGATAAAATTACGTGTGGTGAACACTACATATGATTGCAGTTTGTCGAAAGACGAAAGTGGAAAATGCTGATGCAACTTTCAGCAATAGTTGAGTTTGATTTCCCACATGTGGAATGAATTTTTAAAAGGGAAAAGAATGTCGTCACGTGTTTTGCACGCTTATTCAATGTTCCATAACAATCGTAATTGTATTGTATATTCATCTTTGTAACGAACAATTGGTTCATTTCAGTTCCTTTTGTTATGTATTTTGGAATATATATTCTCTTTTTTTCAAAATAACAATTTAAGAATTTGATTGTATTATCCTTTCATATTTTTTGTCCTCTTTTATTTGGCAAATTTTTGAAGGAAAGGACCAGAACTCGTCCAAGGTGAACTAGATAGCTTTATGTCTATCAATTAAATATCTGATATTTAATCTATAAAACAAAATGAAACAATCAATGTTGTTACATCATAATTGTAAAAAATAGTGTAAAAACTATTGCTTAATGGTAGCATTTTATTGTATACTTCCATAAAACAAAATGCGTTTGATTCGTTTAAGTTTTTAAAAGAGAATATACATTTATAGTAAGGGAAGCAACAAAGCCATTAATCGTCGATTAAGAGATAACCGATTCTAGTTTACAACTCTATTTAAATGTTACGAATCTATCTTTAGCCATGTTACGGTATGAAAAAGTCTACAACTACGTACAAGTTCATTTGATATCTTTCGAATATAATATTACATTCGTGCTAGCCCATATTCCATTTCTACTATTTCGTTGCAAAACTACCTAGGTGTTTCGTTACGTTACCCTGTCGCATTAAATAACACCTATCGACAATTATTTCCTATAAATTCTTTTCAGTAGTGAATGACATGGAAATCGAAGTAAGCAACCCATATATTGCTTTATAAATTGACCTATTTTTTAGTAATCAAACTATTTTGTATTCGTCAATACGATTTATTTTTTGACGCAACGTCTTTAATAATGAACTTAAATATTCGAACTATTGTGGTCATCCAAAGAACTATAATAGGAAATGAGTTATGAATCCAAAAATAATACTTACATTGATGTAATAATAAGTATTTGTATTGGAAGCGCGGAAGTTCTACTTCATATATAAAAAAGAAGAATTAATTTCCTCTCACATTTACATACCTTTGATTACAGTAGTAACGACACTATAGAACAGGAGTCTACGAGATAGTGGTGCCGCCTAACAGCAGAAAGTAACATAACTCATCGACTCCATTTTAACTTATCGAACCTAGTTTGTTCGTTACGTCTGACGCGTTAAAATACTCGACGGAATAGCTGTTGCTCGATATACCTTTAAAAACACTTTAGCTTGGACTAATTCGTGGTAATGCAAAAGTGTTTACGGAAGTGAAATCTAAAGAAAGTGTTAAATTGTTTAAGCAATTTTGATTTTTTCCTCGGTATGTCAGAGGGCGAGGCTACAGCGTCGCAGAAGAAACAGCAGCCATTTCAGCAACAGCCCCAACTCGGAGTAGGCTCAATGGCGAACATGGCATGGCAATATCCCTCGCCAAACAATATTCACAGCATGTTTCCTTCGTATTCAGGGTAATTTTCTATCGATATCGACAATATTAGCTCCGAATTATTACTCGGCAAATCCAATGAATCATAATGTTACGAACAAAAGATTCATGAATCATTACGAATGATTCTATGATGTTGATCAATTCGGAGCTAATTATAGCAAACGTTTTCCTAACGTAAAAATACGAATAAGATAAAGATATATATATATATATATACATGCCTTGAAAAAGAACTTCATGTTGACCTAATTTTAGATTAATACACGTATTATAAATATCTTTAAATAAAATCTAGGCACACCTATATGACATAAAATATTTGAACATTAACTAATCTAATATTATTCTTTTTATAGGCAATTATATGGAGCAGGATATCAAGGTGTACCCCATCAAGGACAAACATTTAGTTATTATCATGCAATGATGCCTGGGTATGGCCAACCTTTCAATCAACAGCAGATGCAGCAGCAGCAGCAACAACAACAGCAGCAGCAGCAGCAACAGCAACAACAACAGCAGAGCAATAATCAAGGGAAGCAGCTACATCAGCAGCCACCAGTCCCTGGAACTCCAATGTCTTTAGATGATGATGCAGATCTTCCACCTTTGCCTCCTGGTCCTCCACCTTCTGTGCAGACATCTCAGCAACATACCAATCAAGTCCAACCGTCGATACAGACTCATCCAGGGTATATGTATAACTCATTTCCATATGGTACCTGGAATGGAATGCACAGTGATATGTCCCGTAAGTTTCATCTTGATACAAGTGATTTAAATAAGTTTTTCCCAGGTACTAGCCTAATATTTTGTTGTTACTTTTTTTTTTGCTTCAGAATACAATAACCAGATCCGTTTCAATGTACAAAATAAAAAGAATGGCTTAACATTTTCTCCATCCGGCAATAGTGGAGCTGCAAAGAAAAAACGTAAGAGGAATAAAAATTTAGCGGCTCAATTCAACAATAGCTTTCAGGCAAATAGTCCGACGACAAATTTTGTACCCGGTTCGAATTTGAAGACCGAATTACCACCCTTACCCCCCGCCCAACGTGAAGTAGCGGCTCCTCCTCCACCAGCTGAAGAATCCCCTACCCCTACTACACCTGCTATTACAACTGCTAACACAACTCCTAGTGCTGGTACTCCAGCGGTAGGTACTCCCTCTGTTGTGACAACTCCTAGCCCGGTTGGAGAATGGCCGGACAGTTTGAAGAATTACGTAAACCGATGTTACGAGAAATGCAAAACGGCCGTCGACAAGGATCAAGTTGAAATTATATTAAAAGGAAAGATTACTCGTGCTGCGAACGATGGCTCGCTTTGGGTGAAGGATTGGGACCAAGAACCTTTGCCTAGTATTCACAGTGAACGTATGACCATGACGATAAAGCCTCAAAAGCCAACGTTAAAATTGAATAATTTAGCGAATCCGCTATTGAATACACAGGGAGGCTTGCGCAAGTCAGGTCTCTCTACTTCTCTCGGGGCTCGGCATGGCGCGCGTCTCTCTGTGAATCACAAACGGTCGAGGTCGAGGTCGAGGACTAGATCAAGATCAAGATCAAGATCGAAGTCGAGATCGAGGTCGAGGTCGAGATCCAAGTCGAGGTCACGTTCGAATACACGTAGTCCACCATCACGAAAATACAGGCGTAGTACGTCCTCTTCGTCCAACGTTAGTGATCGGGAACACGATTATAAATCTATAAAAACGAAAAAATCCGCTAAAAACAAACAGAGTCACGGCAGCAAGAAAGCAAAGAAGACTAAACAGATGAAATCACATTTCTATTCAGAATTTGGTTTAGCTACAGGCAACACGGAGGAATTAGGATCCAAGGAGAAATTACAACAACGCGCTGCAAGATTTAACGATAGTATTTCTAGGACTGTCAGCAACGGTGTTAAAGATGATCCTTCCACGGATTTTGATTTTACCGGACTTCACATCGTAGGAATATGCAAGGACATTGAAAAACCTTACTTACGATTAACATCTGTAAGATTTCATTTCCATATTCTATTTATAAACAATTAAATCAATTTGTTATTAATATATTTGTATATACTTACAGGCTCCAGCTCCCTCCGCTGTTCGACCGGTAAGTGTACTCCAAAATTCTTTGGCACATGTCAAGAAGCGATGGGTGGCTGAACAAGACTATAGATATGCTTGTGATCAACTTAAATCCATTCGTCAAGATCTTACCGTCCAAGGTATACGAGATGCATTTACAGTCCACGTGTATGAAACACACGCCCGTGTAGCTTTAGAAAAAGGCGATCATGAAGAATTCAACCAGTGTCAAACACAGTTAAGGATGCTCTACCAAGATGTCGGAGGAGAGAATCGGTGTGAATTCATCGCGTACCGGATATTGTATTACATCTTCACTAAGAATACTCAAGGTATGCATCCAGTTCGTTATATTTACCAATTAACGTTCCAAGTACGATCCGTAACCTGGCCGCAGGACAGCGAAGACTGCTACAGATCTAAAAAAAAAAAAAAAAAACATGCAAGAAAATTAATATTTTTGTTACAGATCTAACAACCATTTTAGCGGCTTTGTCGGAAGAAGACAAGCGTGACGAGTGCATAAAACATGCACTTAAAGTACGTTCGGCTTGGTGGCTGGGTAATTTCCATGCTTTTTTCAAATTATACACTTCTGCTCCGAGGATGGCAGCCTTCCTGATGGATTGGTTTGTTGCCAGAGAACGCAAGAATGCCTTGAAGTGCATGATCAAGTCGTACGTACTAGATTCTTTAGTAATCATTATTCATTTATACTTGCTCAAATATCTTTAACTTATATACTTGAAGTACAAATAACATTAACAATAAACAGTATTTTCTTTCGCAGATTACACGATATAACTTCGAAATTAAATATACAATATTCGATAGTTCTTTCTAGTGTAATACATGTTAAGAGTTAGTATACTTCAATTCAAAATTTAAGTATATTTCTATTCAGTATATGGAAATATATTTAAATATCCCTAATGTATATATATATAATAACAAATTCTCCTAGAAATGGAGCATTACTTTTCAGGGACGTACATTGTTACGTGGAAGAAGGTGGACGATTGTAAATAATTTTTTTTTTTTTTAACGATTATAATCATGTATAGATTTCTGTTACAGGATTTTGTAGCTGGAAATAACTAGTTTTATAGTTAACTAATTATTTTTAGTAGAATTATTTTTTTATACACATGTATTTATTACATAATTTGTCTAATGATACATTTCTTCTGCTGTTTAGCTACCGGCAAAATTTGGCGGTTGATTTCGTCGTAGCAGAATTGGCCTTTGAATCTTTGGACAAGTTTTATGAATTTGTCAATGAGTTTGGGTTGGTTTATGCTGATCCAGAACAACATCTTATCGACTGCAAGACAAGCAGTGGTTCTGTAGGTGCTTGGTAAAGCAACAGCGCTCTTCTCTCGTGGAAGATGTCGTTAAAAAACAAACCAAATGCACTTATCGTGCACATTTGTGTAGGCACATATTCTTGTGCTGAATTTATATATGCATGTGTTTCTCGATATATGCGTATGTCCCTGTACATACATATGCATATGCATGTGCATATATCATGCTATACATTGACCTGTTACGATACACAATTCTTCTTACTGTCCCCTGATATCATTGTTCTTCGTTGTTCGACGATTAATCCAGTCGAACAACAGTTTGTAAATGAGAACTCTCCCCGCGACAATTTGTATATATACATATATGTCTCGATCTCAGCCCACCGTTCATAATCACAAAACGAAGATTCTTCTATGAGGCTGAAAAAAATTGTACAAAACAATAGGATGATTGTTTTAATCGTCCATTACTACCTCAATAAAAACACACACTCGGTATGAAGCCGAGGAGAGCTCGTGGTAAATCACGCGAGAAAAAAAATGAAAGGGAACGGAAAAGGAAAGGATACACAATTTCGTTTGGTCGGATCTTCGAATTCTCTTCGATCACAAACCAATTCTCTCTCTTCGTTAACCTTACATGTTTTTGCCGTCTTTTTAAACAAATATCCTCAAAGGATCAGAAATTTTTTAACTATTCGTCAGTGCTTTCGCCCTACAAGGATGCTACTTTCATTGCCACTTCAAACGGGGTGGAGAAGCTTGAAAAATTTCCTACAGCGGACCTACAACTTCATCCACGCCCAACAGAAAATCCGGTGATTCTAATTCCACCAAACGCGACAAATTGGGATTGATTCGAATATAGAAGAGAATAAATATCGAACGTTAAATTAATGTCAAGGGTTTTCTCATAAGGTTAAAGGATAATTGCGGACATAAGAAGGGATGTTGACACGTTGGATACTCCGTGAAGAATGAAACGAAAGGAATCTAGGGAAATCGACGAGTGTTTATACTTTGGAGTGTTGAATACACAACAAAGAGGTCATCTACTCCGGCGATGTCAAACGTAACATGTTCAAGCATCAAGAAGCACGAACTTTTAAACCAGGACACATGTATTGGTAGCAAATGCCATTCGCGTGTGATTAGTGATTCTTTTTATCTTTTTAAGTGTTTACCGCGGGACAATCAATTTTTTTCTCTTCGTACGTAGTTTGTTTATCGATTCTCGAGTGTTGGGGATTTTGTCTTGAGTTGAGACGAAGTAGTAGTGGAAAGAAGAAAAGACATTTCATTGTATGATCGTATTCGGACGTGTTGTGCATAATAAATTATTTAATTTTCGGATATTATGTATATTGTGTTAAAACCTAATGAGTCTTGCAAAGCATTTAAATCATAATTTTGTTACTGATATAAACTCAACAAAATTTGATAGCATGTTTTGCGTTTTAAACTATATATTAATTAGTATATGAAAAATATTTAATGTCGTTATTAGTAAACATTAATGTATCTGCTTATATTCAATTGTTCCTGTATTATTTTCGTTATAGGTGAACAGTATATTGGTGATTGAATGTATATGTATAAATTAACTTTGCCAATCGACAAAATTACGGATCAATGGGTGCTTTAGATTGCATTCGTTTTCTTTCTTTCTTTCTTTCTTTTAATGTTATGTTAAAAATAACACTACATCAAAATTTTAATTAGAAAGAAATATTTTTATCACGAAAAATTCGCAATGCATCTAGGAAAATTTTATATTTAACTCTCTTCTGCATAATACAATTACTTGTTACTATGTAACTTGTTTGTTATAATAAAAATTATTTGAACTGTATGAATTGTATGCAGCAGAGGATTAAAAAACTGCTAATGCCCGATATGAATCATACAAATGTTGAAATAATTGTTTCGTTAAAAGAAATGATTAGATACTTTAATTATTATTATTAATACTTGAGTAACAATTTTCCTTGAAATATACGCATGATTCACAGATGTTCAGATCGTGATTTTTTAAGGGATCCTTTTTTAAATCGCTTGGCTCATCTTTTGCGTACAGGTTGCGAACAACATTGTGCGATATTATATCAGAATTTTTTTAAATATTTTTTCCAAGACCATTCACATATACGTGTGTAAATGAATAATGACTACGACATGAAATGCACATAATAATCATTTCACGCATTTTTATAAAACTATAAAATTCATTTTAAAGAAATTCAATAAATAAATAATAAAATTAAATATCATTATTAACAAAAATCGAGATTCGAAAATTTAATAATACAATTTCCTGTTTTATTCATTGCTTCGAACATCAAATATTGCGAGGTAAACACACATTTACTAAAACTTTGTCAAATTTTCGCGTGTATTAGGAAAACGTTCGTGTAAAAGACTTCAAAGATTAATTCTTACAGTGCCGTGTTACGGTATTCAAAGTGCGTAATGATTTTATGTATTACGGCATTTCTAATTAATTAAATTGTGTTATAAAAACTATATATGTTACTGACATCTTTCAAAGTATATAAGATAATGTTTATTTTATTTTTTTTTTTTTTTTTTTAATCTGAAAAACAGATCTATCGAGATATTGAACAAAATGCAATGATTTAAAAGTAAAAGATGTTCTAAATTTTCAATTTAGACCCATCATCATTAGAGTTGAGATCTACGTAAAATTTACACTGAAAAAAAAAGTATGAAAATGAAACGTATAAGATTTAGATGATCAACATATATAATTCTTAAAACATATATCGTTAGCTGGCATGAGACAGTTAATACTTACATATTACTCAAATAAAAAATGTTAATAGTGAAACGTAGCTCCATAAAAAGAATCTGAGTGACTGATAATGTTGTTTTGTACGGCAATTTATACGGACAGGGACACGAAACTGTTATACTGAGTGATGTTGCGTTTCAGAATATCTGCGCAAGGACCTAAAACTCTTTCAAATCTTGCTCTATCAAGCTTTACGCATTTTAATGGACCTCGCGCCACTACAGTTGCTGCTCTCGGCCTGTCCAATAACAATGCAATTTCACCTATAACCAGAGGAGAATATCAATTAATTTCAAATTAGTCATTACATTCCAACGACACAAACAGCTTACCAAAATAATCAGACGGCCCTAAGCGGCCAACCTCCGTAGGTTCCTCGCCCTCTGAGCGTTGTTGAAGAACCACAGCTGTGCCTTCAACGATAATGTAAAAATCTTCACCTGGTTCACCCTGTCGGACTATTGTTTCACCGTCATCAAATGCTACTGGTTCTAAAGCATCCGCTACTGTGAGCCGTTCCCACTTATCCAAAGACTCTAAAAATAAAGCAACAAATTTTCTGGTAAGATATTCGAATAGTATATATACTTTTGGCTGGTATTCGCAGAACATGAATCACGGTTACCTAAAATCGAAACTCTGGACAGGAATTCCTCGTACATTTTCCGTTTTCTTATAGTAGAACCCATAAGAATTCTACGATAAGAGTCTCTGTCAATACCCCATAATTTCACATCGGTTTTCGCTCGAACAGTAGCGGCACGTGGAGTGCCATAGATCAATGCCAATTCACCAAAACTTCCACCCTCACCGATTGTTGTGACCAATTCTCCGTTTACAAAGATTTCAACTTCCCCTTGGTCGATTACATAAAAGTTGTCACCTTCGTCACCTTTTTATATTACAAAATTTTCAATTACATCAAATCTTGCTAGACATTTCTCCTAACGAAAACGAATCTTATATTGAATATAATATTAATAATAACCTTGACGAATAATTGCTTCTCCAGGTAGAAACGTGACCGGGAACATAGCATCGAATATGTCGGAACGTTCGTTTTCATCAAGATGAGCGAAAAGAACATTTTTGGCGATCGCTTTGCTCAAAGCAGCCATTGTTTTGTAGTCCTTAGGTACGACTTTCTTAACGTAACTGGTCGCATCTTCCTCAGAAACCGGTTCCGCAGATATGCCTCCTCGGCGTCGAGGAACCTGAGGACCCTGTTGCCCGGCAGGTATGTCCTCTGTATCCTCTGGACTGGTTGCAATTTGTTGCTTCGCATCGTGAGCCTGCTCCTGAAATAAAAAATGATTTAATCAGTGCTTCGTAGCATTCTACCATCAACACTCGTCACTTTAAAGATCAGTTGATTACTATTCTTTCAAAATATATCTGCTTCCGCGTCTTTTAGGCGTAGAATAAAATCAATAACGACTTTATTACTTATGAATCGTCAAAAGAAGGAAAATCAGATTTTTATACTCTATCTCATTCTTGTCCCCAAAGCACTCGAGGGGATCGGATATTATTACTCAATTCCTGAAACGTATTTATTTCTTTCGCAAATTGTCACAAACCCAATTATCCTTGATTTGAGTCTGCGTCATTTTGCAAGGAGAATAAGTATTAGAACACCATCCGCGTATTTTTTTTTTTTTACACTTTACTTGCCTGCTGCACCATGTCGGAAGTTGATGTTCTCCAAGTTGTATTTTTGAAACACTAACTCTGATCGTACAGGTAAATTGATGTCTTTCTTTTCTCAGTTCGATTTAGATAAAAACGCACGGTACAAATTGAAGTTGAGCCGCGTAAGCAAAACAAGGCGGTATAAAGTCAATTTTGCTTAGACATGCGCAACGCAACTCCGTCCTTCCCTTAATGAATTCACGAGGGCTCTTCTAATTTTTCTAAATATACGTACAAAGTAAAAGACGCGCGTGTACGGAGCAGGTCATGCAAAACATTAGCAATTGCTGAGAATTTTACAATGTATTTTTTTATTTAAAAAAAAGAAAATGGAAAGATGACAAAAATTAAACGCGCGCGTTAAGCGTCACCCCCTGTCCTTCAAAAGTTGGGTGGTGCTTACTGTAAAATTATATAAGCCTTTAGGTAAAATATTATACGGCCTACCAACGATGAGCATCAACGTGAAGTAAGCAAATAATGTCATAGGTCACTTGGCGTTTTCACGGTTAACTGCACCACCGTAAATATGTTGTACGACATAATACATAAACATCAGACAGATCGTTGATGTATGGTGATTCTGTACACCTACTTTCTTCTAAACAATTTACTCATTTTGTGATGTGTTAAAAAAGTAATTTCTTTTACATGTTTTGTTTAGTCTAACAAGAATGATATATGCACGCGAAAACATAATACGGTTGAACTGCTATCGCATGGAATTGATACCATTAGTGGCACAATTGTTTCAACTATGTTATTGACTACAGATGTTCCGTTATTATACATGCTACTAATATGCTAACAATAGTACTGAATTAAATTAAAAGAGAAACAAAGTCAAGATTATTCGGTCAGTGATCCTAACACGTGGTGTATTATATTGCAATGAAAATTTCACAGATATAGATCTTTAACAAAGGCAGTTTAAAAATCTTACGGGAAATTTTTATTGCCATAAAGTATTAATTATTTATTATTGAAGCAAAGCAATTCAAATGTGTCAGTGTTAAATATCAAAGCATAAAGTATAGATTATTTTTGTCTATTATAAAAAAAAGCTATGCAAGTTTACGAAACGCCCATCTAAGATTGCACGAGTGAATTTTGCGTAAAATCCGAATTCCACGATCGTACCTCGCTCATTATTTTGTCGATTTTCGGCACGGGACAAACGCGGTTTTTCCACCGATTACACCTAATATGTATCCTTCTCGTGACACTCGACTCTTGCGCACACGCGAATTTGAAAAAGTGTTTCTTGAAGGACGTACGAAATTAATGTACGAAGCGCGAGACACGATCGTTCTTGATTGCGACGTTCACCGCGCCACTTTGGAATTTTCTAAGGTCTCACCAAATTCGATTAATGCGACACGATCTTTCCCTGGTTGGTAGCTCGCGAGCTATGCGCTGGAAAATAAAGACACCAGTAGAAAATCTTTCGTCGGTGTACAGTCAGATCAACAGATAACTCGTTGGCAGACGAAAAGTTGATACAGAACAACATGCTTCCGGCGTTGCCCGTTTAAAACATATTGTCGCAGCGCGCTTCGCACATTTTCGAGGACTACACGAACTCGTTAAACGCGACTTTCGTTCGCCGTTGGCTAAGGTTGCTCCTCGTTATATTTTGAGCAGTTTCTATATTTAGAGCAGCCCCTGTATCGCGCATACTAACTCTTCTTTTCTATATGTTACAGTAAAAGTGTAAAGTTTTGGTCAAACTACAGACCTACTAGTCAATGTATGAATTTATGTAAGATTTTAGCAAAAGTATCAAGAATGTATCTGCTATTCTTGCTATTCTGCTATTCTTACACTGATTCGGAACACTACGTTTGGATTCCTTCCCGCTCGATTCGTCGAGAAACGAAAAATGTTATCGATCATTCTGGACGATATACTTTCACGTGATATATAGACAGTTGGAAAGGGGAACAGCTGAAAAGAATGTCCCTGTTTGCGAAGATACAAATCTTGTCAAGGACAATGCTGTATAGTTTCAAGGAAAAATAAGTAATTTGATATTTTCTTATTATGGATGCAGACACTGGACAAAAATTTTTGTTTTATACTAGATATATAATTTCATACATTTGAGGAATATATCCAATAAACTAATAACATTTAGCAAACATTAAAAAGGTGTAAGTGTTAAATAAATGTATTTCATTTTCAATTTTATTTTAAGCTGAACACGACACGTAAAATGTTCAATAAGCTATTCATTCGCGTTAAAAATACTTTGCACTTTTGAATACAATGTTTACTTTGCTACAATATTAAAAAAATAAATAAAATCTTCAGCTTGCGTCATAAGTAAAACATGTAAATATGTTGTAAGCATAATTTGTCGTGCACGTATAATGCAAATTATTATACATGAAGGTATTATTTAATCTCATTAATCAGGTAGCTAATAATGATTGATTACAAACTAGTGTCAGCAAATAAGTAATCATTTGACAGTCCCCTTATGCATGCATTTATTTATTATTTATGTGGTATTTTATCACTATTGATCGTTTTATCATAAATATCTACCTATATAATAATACAACAAGTAATAAACAGCTAAACTACTATCACGATTCACTGTCAATCATTAAATAAATGAAAGAACGTAAATGTGAGGTTATTTTTGTGAAACGTGATTCGATACGCACCCGTTCCAGTTTCTGAAAGTATTCTCTCAAAAAAGATATAGGATTTTCAGGACGCCCCACGCACAGCTGCACTATACAGTCTTTTAAAACTTGTTGAATATTGTGTCTTTGTACGTATTCCTCGCACTCTCTTAAACTTTGCTCTTCCTCAAGATTCGCCGCCATATTGATATACAAATTGACACTTTATAGCAAATACGTTTTCTGCGATTCTGCCCTCGATTCGAATATTAGAAATATTCTTTTCTATTGGCAAATTGCTGTTTTTAATACAAGCAATATCACTATGTCTTTCTTGATATCTAATATTCATTGTTTATTACACTATAGGTATATTGCTGGTAGCCGTACTTTTTCGGACTATACATATGTATGCATATGTATATATACGTATAATTCAATAAAGTACGACACTACTACACGTGAATATTCCCACATCAAAATAAAATATTTTTTTTTTGTTTTATAAAATAATCCTTTGTGAATAACAATTGATAAAATAATAAAATTGATGAAACAAATTTTTTATTACAGAAAATTTAAATACTTTAAAATTTAAATTGATATAAAAAATATATGTACATGGGGGTAGTAGGGATTTAAAAATAATTTTACATTTATTTGTTTAACTTCTAACAATAATATATTTTAAAACATATTGTCAATGGGAGGATAGACATTATAACACATAAACTATATTTTAAAATATAAGATAAGAATGTTTTTTGCATTTCTTATTTTTAGCAGTCATTAATTCTGTAATCCCACATCAATCTAACATCATTAGGGAAACAAATTTTCTCTGGCATTTAATGAAAATTAAGGAGAAATGGGATTTCAGAATAACAGTTTGTTTTAAACTTAAATCTTAATACATATTTAGAAAATGTATAGCCATGCTTTCCTATTTACATTAAAATTTGCATATTACACAAAATAACATATGTACGCAAATTTCAATACATTGCAGAATTAGTTAAAATGTTATACAATTTTATAAAATTTTAACAAAATACTTAATGATAATGAATCGTTAAAAAATTTATGACAATATGAATTTTGTCTATGATCTCAATTTTGTTTTATCATGCACATTTAATAATGTATGTATTTGTTTTAAAGTATATATTTGATTCTAATTTTTATAAATTATAAGATTTCTAGTAGATTTCTTGAACGATTGCATTTTCAGATCTTCGAAATAATAATTAATGCGAAATAAATTTGTCTAATATCATGTTTAACTGTTGCAGTTTGGTATCCTGTTCTCTTATTTACCTATATAATGTAATTGTGCAGATTTCATTATAATCTAAATTTAACTATAGAATGCATGCGATGTACATATACAATAAAAAACAGCAATGCCATTATAGAAGACTGTAACATGTTTTGCATTTAATAACTATAATATATAGTTACAATTTCTTTCTGGATGCATTCACTTGTATTTTTACGTCTTTAAATATTACATTTTTATTAATTACAAGTCTAACAAGTAGTTGCCTATCAACTGTACTTTCCTGCATTTGTATTTCTGACTATTTTGGCTCTTGCTAATTACATTGAACTAGATAAAAATTCACCGCAATGCTTCTGTAATTAAATTCAGTAATAAGTTTTACTTAATTTCTAATTGTATTATCGTTCAATATTATATGTAAGTGGTCATTTTCTAAATGAAAAATTAAACACGCAGAATGCTATAAAATACTGAAACATAAGGTGATTCTTTCGCTAAAGTGCCTTAAAATAATAAACTATTATGCTACACAAAATTTCGACCATGGTAACATGATAGTTCAAGTTTCAAGAGTAAATTAGGTAAAATTAATTACATTATGTATAAAACAAATTTTGTTTATAGTTCCTATTGTATTATATATAATGTATTTGTATAGGCACTTTCTACAAGTAACTGGAAACCCTTAAAATTTATAACGAAAATTAAATTTCGTTCAAAATTGCTGAACAGAATATGTTGAAGTATGTAATTTTAAGCACATACTATTGTGTTACTTTCTGAAATGGTGTGATAAAATTCTTGTTATATCTTAATAATAAGAATTGTGTATCATGATTAATACAAAGTGCAATTTGTAATCTAGACAGCATTTTTCTTGTTCTTACACTTATTGCTCTAAATAGAATTGCAAATCGATAGATTAATTACACAGGGTGTGATGTCACAGAACTTACTCGACTTAGTAACACTGAAACTTTCAATAATATTAGAATATAATGAGAAAAAAAAAAATCTCGTTGAAAATGCACTGCTAAATTTTATTGAAACGAATTAACAATTCAATGTTTTATTAAACTCGTTCAATAACAAGCTTCAGATAATTCATACGTGCCCCTGTAATCTATCCCTCATATATTAGTAAAGAAATTTTTTATTGGACAGCCACCATGGTCTACTGCAACTACTTATTGCTATTACATTATTACACCATGATTTTGTTTTATTAAATTAATACTGTTTTTAAATTGATATCATGCTAATAATCTCATAATCACATATCTCTGTTTTTAACATAAGATGAAATTTTCTAGTTAAATATATATTTATTGATATTAAATGCATAGAATTTGCTGGTCTAAAGAACTATACAATTTCGATGCTTCTTTTTTTTTAACTTATTAATTACACCTTGTTCATGGTTTTTAAGGCACCAGATATACGTGAAAGATAACTTAACACGTTAATGTGTGACACTGTTCAAAGAAGACCGTCTTATCGTTGGAACTTAAAAATCATGAACGAGCGCATTGAAACGTTTTTAAATTTCTTACTAAACGTTCTTTACACTAAATAAACATATGCTTTCTTTTATTACAAAACAATATGCTTTCAAAACTAAAATAATATTTATATTACATGTTTGATAAAAAATATCGCAGTAAATTTGTAAATTTTGTCAAAAATTTCAGTTCATTAAAATATAAAAAAAAATAAATAGCAGTGCTTAATTAATAACAAGGTACACAATGGTATATACAAATAAAATAATTTTTAGTAACTAATATTGCTAAGTTCCATAGAAATAAAGCTGAAAGCATTAATATAATTTTTCAAAAACAATAAAGACTTCCCGGAAATTGACTAGTATTTGACATGTCTTTGTTCTAATTAATTAATTATCGTAATCTGTACGTTTATATAAGTATATGAATATTGAACAATGATTCATATCCTGATTTATTTGGCAATAATACTTACTTTGAGATTACGGTGTTGTTGATGTTAAAAATGTTGGATCAACGGCAGCAACTTTTGCGGTTAAAAATGCGTGCATACAGAATAATAAATTTTGCAATTGAGAACATTCCAATTCCTATAAAAAAAAAAATCAAATTATTTTTTCCTTTTCATTATTCTTTATAAATAACTAATACCTTTGTTTCTATAGCAATACTATCAGATTCTTGAAAGTGCAATTTTAATCTGCTCTTTCCATCGTCGCTAGACCCTCTCAATTGAGAAAATTTATAACGCCATATAGTTTCTCCAATATCTTCGTAAGAAAGTGTAAAACCTTGAGTCCATTCTAACGTCAATCCTGCGCTTCTTCCGTTAAAAGTGACCGGAAATGTTTTACTCTATGAAAAAAACATGTATAATAATGACAATCTAAACTTGAATGTTTATTATATACAATAATAAAACTGTTACTAACTTTTAAATGTGTAACAGCTGAACATACTGCAGTATGCCATGCTGCTTCCACTCTTAAAAGTTCTTGTCTAGTTTCAACGCTCAGATATCGCGGAGGTTTACCAGGACTTTGTGCTAAGAAGCAATGTTGTCTTTCGTCTACATTTTCAGATTCTCGCATTACGCGAAACATCGTTTGATATACTTTAAAAGTTAACGCACATCGTGACCAATCTCCTATATTGCACTAAAAATAAATCATAAATAACATTTCAATTGAATCAATTAAATATGCACAAGGTGTATACTTACAGGAGGTGTTTCAAATAATAATAAATCAGGTCCTTTCAAAGCTAAAAATCTTGGTCTATAACTTTGCCATGGTTGATTACTATTGCTTACTGCTTCATTCACCCAGCCCATGTATTCGATACGTTCTCCAACTCCGAAGTTGCGATTATATAATTTCATCTGATAGTAATTATAAACATACCTTACATTTGTTACGTTTATCTATAAAATTAATAAATTTAAAACACCGAGTACTTTACCTGTAGGTGGGTTAAGCCAGTAATATTATCGGTTATGTACTTCAACCATTGACTTAAAATGGCACTATCATCACAGTGTATTACACCCGTGCGTGCACCATTTAATCCTCGTACTTCAAACGCGTTTCTTCTTAATTTATCTGTTCCAAAGATATACCTTGTCACATAAGCCATCATTAATGGAACTAAAGAAAATAGAATATTAGTTTTTAAATTCTTTTAAAAGCTATGAAAAATTATTTTAAGATCAATGCAACCTGTTATAACATCCACCCATTTTTTACACTGCATTGAAGAGACAGATGCATTAGAATTCTGTCTACTATGACCACATCTAGGACTACCAGCTTGTCTGTTAGATGATAACCATTCATCTTCTGAACCACCATTTGCTACATTATCTAATTTTTCTTCTTTTTCTAGTAGCAATAATAAACAGATGTTATATAGGATTAACATAAATAAATGAATAAATACATAAAATTATAAATTACCATTTTTTTGGAGAAATGGCTTTGCTGCTCTATAGTGTTTCACTGTTAAAACAACTATATCACCAGCATTTCTCAAAATGTTCACTGCATCATCATGATTACATGCAGTAATATATTCTCCATTCACTAAAAGAAAACCATATTTTTATAAAGAGAAAAAGAATGATTTATCTGAAAGATATATAAATATAAGTGCTTTATACCTTTAATAATTGCATCTCCTACAAACAATTGCCCACACTGATCAGCTGCTTGACCTTTGTATATTCTAGATATGAGAACAGGAAGTTTATGTTCCGCTCCTCCTTTTATACTTAATCCTAATCCTCCAACTTTTTGTCTGAAAATTTGAACCATTCTTTCCTTAGCATCCAAAGGTGGTTTATTATGATTTGCTGCCTGCTGAAAATCAGTATTATCTTAAGATAATTTATAAAATTATTTCACCAATATTATTAAGAATATAACGGTATTAAACTTTACCTCTAAATCTTCCCTTTGAAGCTTCAGAACTTCCATAGATAGATGTAAACGCATTGGCACAGGTTTACTCTTTCCATCACTAACACTTACCATTCCACTCCTCACCTTTTTAAAAAATTATAAATTAAAAAGTGTGTAAGTGAAATAAATAAAACTATTTTATTAAAACACCATATATACTACAATTATAATTACAGATCATATGTAATTTTTTTTATTTTTAGTAACTTATCTTTCTCCATTTACTTCGTTATTTTTAAGTTCTCTCGAAATGTTGAATGCTTAAAAAATAATCTTTAAAAGTGCAAATATATAATAAATGTACCACAACGTGTATCTTTCTGTTTGTAATATTTTATTTTTCAAAACTTACAATTAATTAATCGAAATATTACATAGAACGAAACATTTAACTCACCTTCAACTTCTGATCAATCTTCTCCTCGATCGGAGTACTCATTTTTGTAGCGTTAATTCTCATTATTCAATATGATTATACAGCTTGTACGTATAATTTCCCGTATTGCTGAGCGCAAATTGTCGGGGTTAATAAAACCTTGTTAATCATTGATATTACAAATGGTATGTTAATCTTTTTACGGATTGTTTGACATGACACGGGCCAATACTTGAACAGTGAAAAACCAAAATCATATCCCCCTTGGTTTGTTGTAGAAAAAATTCACAAACTTATTTGAGAATGTAATTTATCGAGCACGATATTTTAGGATAAGACACCTTCATCAAATATTCCAATTTCTCAAGCTGAACATCGTGACGTCTCTAAAGGTTCAGACGAAGCAAAAAGTCCGTAAACCGGGACGCAGAAAAATTGGAGTGGGCTAAAAGTAGCTAAAAGCCCGCGGTCGAGGCGCATCGATTTACACAACACGGCGCGCACGATACCTACTACTTCATTTCTACCATACTGCGGGAAATACAAAAACTGACTACATTTTCATCGTGAGAATTATTTATTTATTGCTACTACACTTTACAATGTTAAATAACATCAGCTTTTGATTCAGGAACAAGTTGGCCATCAAGAGTTTGGGAGAACTCTCAACAGCAAGGTAGGGAATGATTTTTTGTGTGGTGTGTTATAAAATGTTTCCAATGAATTTTGCAGCAACTTTTTTTATTAGTACTGTAATGTATAATTGAGCTAAATATGTATTATATATGTATATATATATTATGTAACATGTATATATAGTATATATAATACATAAATTTATATTAAATATAATTATTGAATATTAGTTTTATTCTGAGATGTATATCTCACGATAAATACAGAACCATTTCATTTTTTTTCATTAACAACAAATAAAAAAATAATTTTTCATAATTTGCTTTAGAATATTGTCAGTTAATTTCACTGATTACTTATTTAAAATTAACAAACTAATACTTAATCACTACACAAAATTTATTTTTTAATCTTGAAAAGTGACTAAATTTCAAAAGTTTTATGTGTGAATTTTTTGTTTACATATTATATACAGTTAAAAAAATTAATTACACTTTTTTCTATATTATTATGAACTATTTATAAAATGAAAATTTGCTAACTTCTGTGCAGTCCTTACAATTTATTGCAAGTAAAATGTGCGATTAATAGCTTCAATTAAAAAATATAGTTTATTTTACAAGAATTAGAATTTCTTTCTAAATTTTGTGTAAATAAATATATAAATAAATATTTCTAAAATGAAGCTCTATGAGAACATGATTTGTTTTAGGAAATCATATGATGCATTTATAATTCCCCAACTAATAAGTGATCTCATGCAATTCAAATGCACACCTTTATAAAATGATGTTATACTTTTGTTTCTAGCAATGTATATTTCGTGAGTAACAGTTATAAATTTCTCAAACTTACCACCTATTTTTGACTGCATATGTATTTTTATTACATTCATAGGATAAAATATAGTACTTGTCAAACCACCTATTAAAGCACCATTAATAAAACTTGTTAACAATGATTCTTGTTCACCTACAAATACTTTTGACTGTTCTTTCATAATAAAGAACATAAGATTAGAACAACTATTTCTATATATAATTGGAACTAGACCACGATAACATTCTGGTATACCGTAATTTTTTAATAAATATTTAAATGCATGAGAAGTATTTTTAAATTTAGTATGATACCGCCAATCTTGTAGCAATGTTTGTACTCTTTCAAGTGGCATAAGTATAGCCTCAGCAGTACCAGCAAGATGGGCTGCTATTATTCTAGTTAATATATCATTATTTGTTAATGTGGATAAACGTTCTTTACATCCTTCATATGTACTAAACATAATACTAACTGAAAGAGTTTTCTGACAGAGAGGTGGTAAAATTCCACGATACAACAATCGTATTCCTTCTTTGGATATTTGTTGAAACGCAGTATTAACTGGCACATCTTCCAAAATCTGTATAATAGGAACATAAATTTATACTAAACATGTCTATTTGTATATTTCATGTAATAATCTTTATTACATACCTGTCTAAATATAATTTTATTAATAGGGAAGGTAATAGACACATTGATAAGTGCAGCTCCCCAACCACAAATAAATTCTTTAAAATCATTATTGTTAAGAGTTAATAACGATCTTAATGAGACCTTCTGTGATTCAATATTACTCATATTAATATTTCATATAATAATTTGTTCAAACTGTTATTCAGAGAAATCAATCATATTTATCTTTCTATTTTCTTCATATCATTTAATTTAAATAAATTGTTTTACCTGTAATAATTGAAATATATTATAAAATACATTTATTAATTACACATTATTACAAATGTTTAATAATTAAGAAACAAATGAAATTTCATATATAAATTTTCTTTATATTTTATCAATGATAACATTATGTAATTTTTTATGCATGTTTTATAGACATTTGAAAGAGAACAGGAATTTTATAAGCGTACAACTCACATTTTATGCAATTCATGGTTTAACCCATATTCTAATATTATATATGTATCACAAATTTGACACAAAACATGTTTAACAAATCAAACATTCATCCCACATTTCTTTATCGAGTACCACAAGTAGTACTGATTCTTTGGATTCCGTTGTGTCATTAGAATTTTAAAGTGCATTTTTTAAAACGACCAATTACAATCTTTTTTATCATCCAATACAAATTCGCAAAACATCAGAATATAGAATCGGATTTTAAGCTTGCACTTATCAATTTTTTCTTTATTGTGTAAATTCTATATTCTTCTATCAATCATTTAAACAATATCAGTATTGTAAATCCAAAATTCTAAACGCATCTTTATTACAAATATATGTACATACAAAGTTATGAAACTTTTCATAACAAAGAGAACGTAACGATAATCATAAATATAAGAATCCGTTCGTATATTTTCGTCTATGAAACATCAGAATTTGATTTACACAAAACCTTTATACATAATTAAATGTAATTAAAAGGATGTATAATATGAAACTGTTTTTGCTATAGGTAGTATGTTGTTTACACATGTGCGTGTATTATGCATCATGCGTATATATAGATATATGTATGTATATGATTCGTGTATGTATATAAAAGACTGAGCTTCTTACGACCATTTATAAATTAGTTAAATTTTTCGCAAGGGTAGTATCACGTAAGTGACGAAGTATAGTGGAGTTAAAACCTTGTCCTACTTTTGTTGATATATAAAATAGATACTATTTCAGTTTACCATCGTTACAAGCGCTGTACTTAGAATTCGTAAATCAACATCTACTTAAAAATGCTACGAGTTACAAATGTTCCAATGCTAAGACCTACAAATTTGGTAAAAGTCATTGACTTAAACATCAGGTATGTTTCTTTCAATTATAATTTACTGTAACGATAATAACGTTCAACCTGTTGCTGAAGTTACATGACACGAAACTGTTTTGGAGCATCTGTCAAAAAAAGTAGGCCACATACTTTCTACTTACATTTACATATATACAAGTATTTAAAATATTGTAATTGTTTTTTAAATCAGTTAACTAAAACATTATTCAATTGTTCCGAACGGATTCATAAATTCGTATTTTAGGTATGTATCGTATGTCAGCTAATTGGACTTTGGACTAATGACATGTATAAATAAACAGACTGTGTACCTTATTTTTTCAGTAATTTTTTTCTATTTACAAAAACCTAAATAATAAGTTTACTTGTTTTGAACGTACATGAAATATATGATTAAAAACACATCATGAAATTGTGTTTTATGTAATTGTAATTTATGTAACTTTGACTTTCATTGAATCCAAAAATTTGTAAATATTTATAAATAAACTAATCATGTGTATGTTATTTGTAAACATTTTTGTAATTTAATAAAGGCAACTACAACAATATATAAAAAAGATTGTTATTTATTAAATATTTAAACAATTTATTCTGTATGTTTTTTTAGATGTTTAGCAACACAAGCAGTTGCAAAAAATGCAAGAGTGGAAAAACCAAAGAAAAGTACTGTAGCCAAAGAATCCCAGTCCTTTGTCATGAATATTTTTCGTGGTCAATTACAAACCAGCCAAGTATTTCCATTCCCAGAAAGTTTAACTGAGGAACAAGTTGATACATTGAAAATGTTGGTTGATCCTATAGAAAAATTCTTTGAGGTAACAAAATTATAAAAAATATATGGAAATTTTTTAAAAATATTTTTTATCAATGTATTTTTTTTTTCTCATCAAAAGGAAGTAAATGATCCAATGAAAAATGATGATACTGCATCAATAGATGAAAAAACCTTGACAGCAATGTGGGAACTTGGAGTATTTGGACTTCAAGTTCCACAACATTATGGTGGATTAGGATTAAATAATACTCAGTACAGCAGGTGTGTTGAAATCTGTGGATATCATGATTTAGGTGTTGCTATTGCTTTGGGTGCACATCAAAGTATAGGATTTAAGGTATACTTTTTGTAGTATATACAATACTTTTTTAAAACTATATATTTAATCATTTAACTTATGTAGGGTATACTCTTATTTGGCACACCAGAGCAAAAGGACAAATATTTGCCAAGAGTTTGTAATGGAGAATATGCAGCATTTTGTCTTACAGAACCAAGTTGTGGTTCGGATGCAGGTTCAATTCGTTCCAAAGCAGTTAAATCACCAGATGGATCACATTATATTTTAAATGGTAGCAAAATCTGGATATCAAATGGTGGTATAGCAGAGATAATGACTGTGTTTGCACAAGTCCCTACAAAAGATCCAGAAACAGGTGAAATTAAAGACAAAATCACTGCATTTATTGTTGAAAGATCATTTGGTGGTGTAACTAGTGGGCTACCAGAAAAGAAAATGGGTATTAAATGCAGTAATACGGCGGAAGTATATTTTGAAGATGTTAAAATACCAGCAGAGAATGTCTTAAGTGCTGAAGGACAAGGTTTTAAGGTATTGCTTATTTTAAATGTTAAAAAATTTTTAGAATCTAAGGAAATTCACATTTTGTACCATTTCAGGTTGCAATGAGTATCTTAAATAACGGCCGATTTGGGATGGCAGCCGCTCTGTCCGGTACTATGCGCTATTGCATTAAAAAAGCAGTTGATCATGCGACACAACGCGTACAATTTGGACGTACAATAGATAATTACGGAAGTATTCAAGAAAAATTGGGTCGTATGGCAATGTTGCATTATGTAACCGAAACACTTGCATATACAATTTCTGGTAATATGGATAATGGAAGTCAAGATTATCACTTGGAAGCTGCAATTTCTAAAGTAAAATTCATTTAAAAACGTAAAATTTAATAGGATTTTTGCGAGTTATATAAATTACATAATAATTTTTTTAGTGTTTTGCGTCAGAATCTGTATGGTGGGTTTGTGACGAAGCTATTCAAGTATTAGGGGGAATGGGATTCATGAAAGAAGCTGGCCTCGAACGAGTTATGCGAGATATTCGTATCTTTAGAATTTTTGAAGGAACTAACGATATTCTTCGTCTTTTCGTTGCTCTTACTGGAATTCAATATGCAGGAAGTCATTTAAAAGAATTACAGAATGCATTTAAAAATCCTACTGCTAATTTAGGATTGATTTTTGAGGAAGCAACCAAAAGAGCAACGCGAGCCATTGGATTGGCATCAGTACCTAATTTGACAAATTTAGTCCATCCGAGTTTGGAAGAAAGTGCTACATTATGTGCCAAGGTTTATATCAGTTTTTAATGTTAACACCTCACAATTATCATTAACCGGTGAAATCGTGTTTTAGAGCATTGAAGCTTTTGGACCATGCATCGAATCCACTCTTATCAAGCATGGACGAAAGATTGTAGATGAGCAATTTATTCTTAATAGAATATCTCAAGCAGCATTTGATACATACACTATGGCTGCAGTATTAAGTCGAGCAAGTAGGTCTGCAAATAAAAATATTCCAAGTGCGGAACACGAGCTGCTCATGGCCAAAACTTGGTGTGCTGAAGTAAGGATATATTTGTATTAATATCTAACGTTATTCTTATTTAAATCATAAAGCTACTGAATGTAATGGATATTATGAATTACATTATAGGCAGCCAGTCGTATAGACCAAAACTTAAAGTCAGTTTCATCCGGCAAACAATTAGAAATATTTAGTAATTTAAGTAAAATTTCAAGGAACATGTGTGATGCTGGAGGATACGTTCAAATGAACCCATTAGGTTTTTAATTATACATAAAATTGTTGTAACATGTGCAAGGAATATCTTTGAAAGATTTCTAATATAAATTAAACTGAGAATTACGAAATATAATGGTCACTTTAAATGACAAATAATATAGTACTTTTTAAAATACTTGAATAAATAACATAACACTAGAGGTATTAAGTTCATAATTATATTGAATATTTTTGATATTTTTACACAAAATAGATATTGTAAATAAATTGTTATAAAAAATATTATACACATAAAGATAGATGCTATTTATTTTTCATTAATCCTCACAAAATAGTGAATTGAATTCTTAAGAAATAGATTAGTATACATTATATTTGTGTAATTTTTATGTAGTAAACTAAATTAAATAGAAGTGTATTTACTCTTTTTGATTATATGTATATCAAACAATATTCGATAACATTACTCCCACTTTCTTTTCCGTTGAAGATAACTTTTATATTAAATATCAGAAAAACGAAGTATCAGACGTATTTTAAATTATAATTAATATTAATTATTAATTACTTTCTTCTAATTTTAAGTGCACAGTTTAACAATATCACAACATTACACAAGGGTAAGAATATACTTTCTGATCATTTTACATCTTTTTATAACATGGAAGCACACATAATAATTGCATAACTATTTTATGATGTAAAGTTTATAGCATCCATATAAGACATTAATAACGTTAAGTATAGCATAAAATACATGCAGAAACATAGAATTATATATTTTTATACTATAAAAAGTATCACTTAAGTTTGAGATCCAAATTATTATTTCCTTTTTCAACTTATAACCCAAATTTACCACTAACATTCGATTCTTGATTATACAAAAATTAGCAATAAAAATAAATACGATATTTATTATTGGAAATCAGAATGTTAAATTTTGTATAAATAACTAATATAATTTTGTAAATATGTTAGATTTTTTAATTATACATTGGCAGTGTTTTGCTCCAATTTTTGGTAATCAAGAATATAATAATTTGGTTCCCAAACTTTAAGTTATTTAAAGTATTTAACATGTTTAATAAATATCATTAGAAGTAAATGAGATAAAATGATGTGAAACTATTATAATGAGGTATGTTTTTATTATTGAATATTTAAAACATGAAATTGGAAAAATCTACCATTACTGATAGATATATGTAACTGTTATCTTTACTCTTTTCAGAAAAATAGAATTGGATTATTGAACTATTTTTTATGTTTGTTACTCCAGGTATGCAATCTTATTTTCAGAAATATGAGCCCTAATAATATGACCTCACAATTTTTTTAAATATTTGTATACTTTTTCTATATAATGTATCTTATAATCTAATAAGCCTTTAGGAGAAAATTAACATAATAAAAGTGAAGAATAGCTGTATAACTGTAACATAAATTTTATAATACTTTTTTTTAATTTGCATATGTTATAACCCTGATGCTCCTTGATTAGTACATAAATCTTTAAATACTCAAGCTGTTAGAATGAAATGAATTTAAATATTGTTTCGTGAATCTACTGATAATTTATTTCCTGAGAATTTTTTTACTAACGTTTTATAACTCATATACTTACTTATGCTGATGATTGGGAAAATACAATTTGCTGTATATAAGATTCTTTTCTAACACAAAAGACAATGTTATATCCTAATATTAGTATAAGTTATAAGTGTACACCAAGAGCAGCAGCATTTTAAATGATATACTTAAATATTGATTTTCGAAATGTATACTGCTCTATTTTTCGTATTTAAATAAAGTCACATTTTCGTTGCATATTATTATTTTATAATTTATAATACTAATTTGAATTATAATCACACAGTAAGAAGTATATGAATATACTTAAAGTATACGCAAAAATACAATTATTCACCAAATACTGTCTTTATAGTATAAAGTAGTACGTTGTATAAGAAAATAATGGATTTAGAAATGTTTAAATCAACTAAAGGAAGAATGAAAAACGTTTAAAATATATTTTTTATGGAATTGTTTGGAATTCAATAAATGAGTTTATCCTGTTGAACTTTATTTTATATTTAGCAGTTCAAAGACATGAAAGAATTTCAAACTTTCATCAATGTTATTTTTTCATTACAAATATCATGAAATTTATAGCACACAAATATAATCATAATGAAAACAAAACTCAATACAATGAAATTAAATATCTGTGTACTAAATCATTGTTTTTATATATTGTTTAAGCAATGATATACAAATTGTATATTAAAAAAAATAATAATAATGAAGAAAATTAATTGTAGAAAGTTTATAAATATAGGGTGTTCAGGTAGGGGTGGGCATCCTTTGAAGGGGTGGTAGGTGGGATGATTCTGAACAACTCTTTCCTTTACCAAAATGCTTGTTAAGGCTTAGTTTGTGAATTATTAATTCAGAACGCCGCCCAATCAAAGCGCACTCAGCGCGCAGGCGCAGCCGCGCGAGTGTCGGCTACGAACCGACGCGGCGGTTAGTTTACTCGCGGCCGCGGTAGAGTTCGGTCCTCGTAGCTAATACTCCCGCGGATAAACCCGAGCTCTGATTGGTCGGTGTTTTTCATTAATAATTCAAAAACTAAGCCTTAACAAGCATTCTGATAAAGGAAAAAGTTGTTCAGAATCATCCCAGCTGTCATACCGTCGAAGGATGTCTAGCCATGGCCAAACACCTTTTATATTATATTTTCAGTTAAGTTAGAATTTACTATTTTTCAAAATAACATTAATTTTACTGAATATATAAGTATTCTAAACAAACCTATTAATTTAATTCAGACGAAAATTCAAGTTTAAAATTTATTCATTTCATTAATAAACAATGATTTTGTATTATTAGTTACCACATATGTACTTACAAGCTTATAGACTTTTAATGATACAGTATTACTACCTGGAGTAACTTACAGGAGTTAGGAAAGCTAACCCTGTGCTATAGACAAATTTTTAAATGTTTGTCCATTCCAAGCAACTGAGATACAATAATGTTGCAATAACTGAATCAAAAGCTCTCGTTCATCCAACATTTCTATATGTTCAATTCGATTACGCTCGGTTTGAGGCAGTGAATCATAGACCTCTACCATTGTCCATGCATTAGAACCTTCCCAATTGTTTATTGTAAAGCTAAAATATAAGTAGAAATTAGTTTCTTGGAATATTTTTCAATAATTTTAAGATAATGTATGAGTAAAAAGATAGATAAATATATGTACCGTCTTTGTTGAGTTTCCAAAGATTCACAATCTTCTACACCTGCCAGTAAACATCCACGAGTACGTAAATTAGATAACATAACTTGACCAAATTTATCCTTCATGTTTACTTGTTCATAATTAACAAAAATACTGTTTGGAAATTTTCCAGCAAGCCATTTTAACAACGCAGAAGCTGCACTAGTGTCTACATACACTAATACACATTCTGTAAGGAACATGGTTGGTAAGTTAAAATTAACTTCTGCCTGTGATAATTTATTGATAAGTTCAGATATGTGCCGCAGATCTATTCCCACCAAGTGATAATTGGCAGCATGTAGATCTGTTGTTGAAAATCTAATTTCTCCATCTGTAAAAAAAAAGCAATAGCAACTAACTGTATTTCATCAATACATACATTGCATAAATATATTATTATTACATAGATTTAATACTCTACCTTCTGTATTCAACATATCTATCAATTGTTTGTGCTTTTTGATGTGATAGCATTTTCTAGCAGTGATATTGGGAAAATCAAGTTCTATAAAATTTGCTGGACTTTTTCCTGCTTCTTTGAGTCTCCAATAAAGTGTATCAAATCCAGCACCCAAATTTATAATTTGTCCTTTTTCACCAGATAACTATATTTGTTATAAATTAATTAAGAACCATAATAAAGTTTCATGCAATTTCATTAGTACATAAATTATAATATAGGGATACAAAGTTACATCTATTTTATTTCATTTATGTTTCATTGAATTATTATTATCCATGTAAGGAAGAACAAAACAATTCTTAATTTGCATTTTCAGAAATTTAATAATTACAAATATTTTTAAAAAATTATATGTTGACTCTATCCAGAAATTCCAACATTTGTGTGAGATTAACTTATTATATTACTGTTCCATGATAAAAGGAGAACTTCGGAAATTAGGACAGGGCCTCAGCCAGGTCAAGGTTTCCGGCACTGCACGTCCTTTGCTACTTAAATCAGCTGTATCCCGGATTGTTTCTATCATGTTCTAGGTTATGCCAATTTCGAAGTTGCAATTATAAAATTCATGAAAATGAACTAACACGTACCTTGAGAAATTTGTCAACAAACACTTCGATTCCCTTTACTCTCGCATAATAACCACGATTGATTTCAGGCGCTTTTCGTCCAGTTTGTTTTACGAAAAAGTTGATAAATGGATCAGACCAGTAACCAAGTTGAACCGCGTACCTTTTGCACTCACTTGCATCATCGTTGGTGGCCTGTATGGCCTCATCATCAGCCATATCTTTAATCATTACACTAATTTCCGTTCACTTCAGTTATGATAAATCATTATTTTACGTTTTTTTTTCTTTAATTTAAAAAGCCGATACTTGTCACTCACAGAAATCTGTACAAGCGACCATACTCCTTCGGACTGTGTAAGGACTGCTATAGACTATAGACTCGTTTCGACTTGCAGCGCAAGCTTGCGCCTTCTGTGCGGGATATCTGGCAGTAGGGATAGCCCCTAACCATCAGGTATGAAATAATAACGTGTTTTTATCTAATTTTTTAATGATATTAATATTACAACTTGTAATTTTCATTAAAATAAATAATTATCTATTAGGTAAATTAATTAATAAGATATCTATATGTATATAGTAATATATAAGAAAAAGTAATTATTTAGAAATACAGTTTAAGTAAACAGGAATCAATAATTCTAATTGATATTGAAGTAGTATAGAAAAAACCTTATATTTTCAAAATAATTTTGGAAAACATGGGTACTATTAAAAACAATGTATACAAATTTCATGACATGCAACTATTTATTTCTAAACATAAGTATGAAATAAATACAGTGGAAAAAAGGACAATTCAATTGCATAAGGATATATAAGTACAAATAAACTTTATTGTTAAATTATTAAAAGTTTTTACAGACTATAATAATTTCAAATGAGTAATAAATAAAATTATGTTTAATTTTAATCTTAATGATTATACTCAACACAAGTATTTTTTAAATTATAAACTTTTTCATACAGATATAAATTGATAGATGTATGAAATTTGTGAAGAAAAAATTCATGACATCTTTTGGTTTATAAATTATTAATTAAATGAAATACATTGTTTTACACTTTTGACAAGAGAATGTTGATTCTAATGTTGATCAAATAAAGCTACTTATGTATGAGTTATTAAATAAATTGAAGCTAGTATGAGTTATTAAATAATTGAAGCTAATTAAAGAGAATACAAAATTAGTTCAGACACATATTAAAAACATTACAAATGATATTAATTTTTCTTTAAAGATATATATATATATCATATAAATAAATAGAAAAAAATATGAAAGAGCTTTATTTAGCATTGACACATAAAAGACATGTAATAAAATATGTATAAATTATGAAGCAGAACATAACATTGGAATATGTTGTGCAATAATTTTCAAAGCATTCAAAACTATGTCAAAAGTATGGGTGATACAATTCAAAATGTATTAAAAGTATAAAAAATATTGAAAGAGACTAGTAAGTATCACCTTTTATTATTTGATATAACTTCTAATACTCAAATTTCATTAAAAATATTTTGATAATTATTGTCAGTTCATATAAAGTAATTATTATTCTACATCAGATTTTTTAGCAACTGGCTTTGCTTTTCTTTTAGGTGGAATTGGAGTATTAGAAGTACTGGATGATGAAGTTTCAGGAACAACTGTATCAATACCAGGAGTTTGCGAAGTTTTTGTACCTTTTTTAACAACTTTTACAGTCTTTTTCTGCTTATTAGAACTGCCATTTTCTGCACCATCATCCAGTGCTTCCTCTGATTTTGGTTTTGCTTTTTTTGTAACCTTTTTTACTGCCTTTTTTACAACTTTCTTTTCAGCAGTATCACCTTCAGTTGGTTCTATAGGTTCTCTTTCAGATGCTGATTTTTCTGCAGATCTTTTTACAACCTTTTTTGTTACCTTCTCTTGACCTTTTAAATCTTGTACTGTAGCTTTTGCACTTGTTGAAGGAATGTTTAATTCCTTTGTTCTTGAAGGCCTAACTGGAGTTTCGTGTGGTAACGATGTTTTAGTTGTTTCAAATTCAGATGGAGATTTAACTGATTCCACCATTTCTTTAGTGCAACTTTCAATTTCTTTTGTTGAAGGTGTTGTAACAGCAGGAGTTGATTGTTGTATTTGTTCTATTTGTGGTAGAATTTGTGAGGTTTCTTCTGATTTTATTGATGATTCGTTTGATTTAGAGGCAATATCAATATTTTTTGTTGTTGCAGTGTTATTCAAACTTAATGTGACCTTATTTTGCATAAGCTTATTTGAAGAACCTGAACTATTTATATATGTTTTATTTTCTATTTGATGGACAGATGGTACTGTAGTAGAAAGAATTTCTGATGTCATTTTTTGAGAACCTGACATAGATTCTTTTGATTCTGCTTGAAGAACAGATTCTGCAACTTGTATTGGTACAGGACTAATTGTTAGAATTTCAGAAGCAGTTGATAATTCTTTTGCATGCGTATCATCTTTAATATCTGATTCTTTTGAGATGTTACTTATAACAGCTTCTGTTGGGGTAATTAATTTCTGTTCTTTAATTGAACAAGTTTGAGTTACATTAGGTGGTACTGTAGATACAGTTGTCAGCTGTAGGGCTTGTTTTGGTAGTGAACTTGTATCAAGTTTCACAACTTCTTCTTGAGATGTTTGTGTTAAAAGTTGTACAGGAGGAGAATCCACTAGCATACCAATTGATTTTTCTGATTCTATTAAAGGTTTCTGAGAAAAATGATCTGTTTCTTCTGATAATTCTTCCCTATTTTTTGATGCAGAAGATACAGCATTAATAACTTGTTCATCCTTCTCTGATAATTTAGGTATCATACTTTTACTGTCTGTTATAGGAACATTGTTAACTAGAGATTGTTCGTCCGTATGAGTGGTTGTTGCCTGAGCTAAATAAAAGAAAAATAATCATGTTATATATTTAAATACAATAACTTATAGAAATACATTCTTTGTCATATAATTTTAAAGCTTAAACTTCTACCTTTGTTTAACAGGAGTTAATTGATTAATTTTTATTGACTTGAATGACAAAAAACGTATGAATGAAAACATATAACTAATCATATGTTATACATAAAAATTATTCACAAATATTTAAACATACATAAGTAATATTTTATTTTCTAAAATTACTTGCTAGTGGTATATTCTAAAATACCTAAAAAATTGCCTAACTAACAAAAGTGCTCTTATTAAATGTTATTTTATATGAAACACAAACATCCATTGTTAATTTGAAGTACGTGAAATGTGAACTAATCATGCATGGTGATTAAACATTGAACATTTTCCCAATTAAAACAAAAACAAGCAAGGTGTATGAAATATGTTTAGTATTTTTAAAATGAAGCACTTTAATTAATTATTTGACAAAAGTCTTATTATTTGGAGAATTAAAGAATAATTTATCATTAAACTATTTCAGGGTAAAAATAAGATTAATGAAATTTTTATATAACTAGTAATTATTATTTGCTTACATTAGCACAAATAAAATTTCTTCTACAATACATAGTGTAACTAAACATTTAAAAGTTTATAATGAATATTAAGATGAACTAAATTAAATTGCTAAATATTACATGTTATATTAAAATACCATAAACGACATGATTTATAAAAATATGATTTATTATAAAATGATATAATTTTAATAATGTAAATCTCAATCTAAGTTGTGTGCTGTTTTAGTTGTGTTCAATCAATATTTCTAAATTGTTTGGAAATACAATGATAAAAATCGCGACTGTGATGATGCGAGTTTTCAAAATATTTACCCCATTAAAGCAAAACGACATTACAAGACGTAGCAATGCTATGGCGCCAGGATCTGTTAGTTGCTGTCCTCCGTTCCTGTTTCAAACACTTAAACTTGATAAACTGTATAAAAAACATATTTTTCACTTTTTTAAAACACATACAAAATTTCGAGTTCACTAATAGCTATCGCCTGATTTCATTTTTGAATTAAACAGTATATCCTTATAGTAAAAATTCCATTTTGAAATATGAGTTTAAATACCACATGCTGTATTAAAAAAAAGGGGAAAAATAAAATCGCAAAGCGTGTTTAAAAAACAGTTAATGGCTTTGCACTATGAGCACTTTAATTTTTAATTTTGTACACAATTTTAAATTGCCACTGGTTGCAATTATATTTTAATGACTTTACATTAATATGCAGTCATAATTGCCACATAATGTAGAAGTAAGTCTTTTAGCTCAGTAATTTTTTTTTCCAGTTCAAGTACTTTTAATAATGTGATCTTTATCATCACAATATATTTGTAGCACATAATTTTGTGTAGGTTTCTTCTATGAAAATAAAACATACCAGCTTTTGCATCCGTTTCATCAGTAGATTCAATAGGTTCAATAGATTCAGTAGGCTTAATAGATTCAGCAGTCTTATCAGTCGTGGTTTCTGCAGGTTTTTGCGTTTCCTATAAATTAAATTACATATATTGTATTTGTATATAAGTATGATTTTTATTGATTTAATCAGTTACCTTTGGAGGAGACGGTAACCGCGGAGGTGCAAGAGAAAGTGTTTGACAGATTTTCTTCCAAATATTATCAAAACTATCACGGCCCATGTAGTCTATCTGTCCTTGTTCCCAACTTTGTTTTCGCATATGTTCTTCTAATGCAATTTGTTGAGCGCTTCTGGGTTCACCTAATGTCATCTGAGCTAATGCACCAGCAAGACCAGCCTATGAAATCAGAAATAAAAAATACTTATTTTATTTATAATTTGATAACTATGAAAGATAAAGGAACATAAATTAGTTACAAATATTAGTATATTTATACATGTTATCTGCACAAGTTACCTTAGGCAATTGCTATATGTAATTATCCTATATAAATTGCATGTGTTACAAACATATAAATAAATAACGAACAAATCTAGTATAAATTCACAACAAAACAAACTCAATTAAATTTTAAAAAATTATTAATATACCAACAATATTGGAATATGTAACACTTGCCAGGATTGACAAACATTTTCTAATAAAATTGTACACCAATTGTATTAAAAGTGCAAGTAATGTTCCAAGAATTCTTAGAGTTGCCGTTTCTTAATCAATACTTAAAAATTGAAGAAACATAAAGTAGATTATAAAAGATTACAAAAAGAAATGCAATCTAACATTATTTTAAAGAAAAATATGTGGGAACAATTACTTACATTTGAATTGTTTACATCTTCCATTATGTGTGAGTCAGATTGCGATGCTACATTATGGAAATCTGTACAAGGTTTGGAAACAGGATGAGGACTAGTAGATATCTGTGCAATAGTCTGTTTGTCTGTAATGTTTAGAATTTTGTTTTGTTCAATATTTTGTTCAATTGAAAGATTATTTCTTGCAGTTTGATCAGTTAAGAATTCCCGTTTTGTAAATTCGAAATTAATTTGTTCATTAGA